GACCTTCGCTCCGGGTCGTTTCTGGCACAAAGATTGTCTATTTCCATCCAGCGTGGCAATGCACCAAGCATAATGGGCACCTTTGCGCCAGAAACGATACGGGGTGATATTTGAATATTATTCTTGTACATAATGTTAATTTTAGTTATTATATTATATTTTTATTCTCGTTTTAGGTTCATTGTTCCTGTATATATATATATATATATTTTTAATCCATAAGTTTGTATGATATAAGTTATTATTACTAGTTTATAATTAATAATATAAGTAACAATGTATAGCCAATAAACATTAAAGATTAGGTAATAGGACATAAACCAAAAAAAAGTACCCAGGGTGAAGCGAGAGGAGTGGTAGCAGTCGCCATGGTCGCTCCAGAGTAGACGCCAGCTAGAGGTGGCAAAAATATAAAGGACCAACCAAAGATCGCTACAACTGAGAGAATTTCATTATGATCTAAAAATATGAACAAGAAAACGCAGTAATGGAGCGCCTTCTTTTACGTATTATAGGTAATAAGTTGGTCTTTGAATATGACCAGCAGAGGGAGTTAGGTAAATAAATAAAGATATGGCGTAATCATCCCCCTATTGTCTGTTGTCCTCCGCGACCAAGTCCTTCGCTGCGCAGGCGATTAAACATACCTAAGTATCTCTTGATTATGTGAAAAACCCCCCAACATTCTAAATATTTATAAAAAATACAATATTTACTACAAAATATGTATTTCTGCAATAGCATCCATTACTGGATCAACATCGTCGCACTCTTCGTCTTTCCCCCACTCCTTTATAAGCCAGAAACATATTAACGCGTAGGGGCGTGTCGTGACTTGGTCGTGAGTTCGTGACCTCGTGACGCATCGGTTTCATACATTTATTATGGGTTAGAGCAGTGGCGGACTAAGCTCGTCAGAGGCCCGGGACGGCCAAGCTGAATGAGGCCCCCCAATTTTAAAAAAATGTAGTTTCTTAGTTTGTTTCGTTAAAATCTGGCAAGTGAAATTTAAATTTCAATTAAATCATTTCGGCTAAATAAACATACCTACATACCTACAATATGTTACATATTGACTAGAAACTGCGAATTATGATTTCTAGGTTAAATTATACGAAGAATTACTCACTTTTTCAAAATACTTAAAAATGCACTAACTCAACTCTAAACTTTTATGCCGCAACAAAAATCAAAAACAGGATTACACTTTTTAATGAGGTTACATTGAACGGATTTAAAATGAGGCCAATGTTTATTTTTCGATGTAAATATAGTGAATGTTAATAAATGTAGGCGTACAAGAGTGAATTATTTGTACTTCATTCATTCAGGGATTCCTGAGGAAGTACCCACTACAGAGACGGGAATTCCCCCAGCGTATTGGACGCGTTCAGCGAAGTTAAAACAATATTAGTACTGCGTAAAAAGTCTAGATGGTTTTAGTGTTTTGATCTTGATGAAATTATGTAGGTACTTAGCGCATTTTTAAAGTCTAGTTTAGGATTTGATCAGGGGAACGCGGAGGCATTTGGGGGCCCCCCAAGATCGGAGGCCCGCGGGGCGGGCCGCCCCTTCCGCCCCCTTGTTAGTCCGCCACTGGGTTAGAGAGGGAAATGTTAGAGCGTGGATACGACACATAAACATGTTTCAAACCATAGTAAATTTATGAAACCAATGTGGTTCTGGCGCGCCACCACAGTTGTTTTGATAGTGCAGTGCTATGATAATAGTAGATAATGATAGATAGTGTCGAATCGATTTGCAATTTAAGCTAACGACCATTAACGTAACGACTGACTGACTTGCTTGAGTTGACATGGACTCTTGCATTGACTTGACTGACCGAGCGACTAAGTTAGACTTAATGGACTGAAGAGTACTTTTTAAGTGGGCTTTGGACTCAGGGGTGCGGATAGGGCTCACTGAATGAACACAGTTCAGTGGGCGCAATTCTTGTATGATTCTGCCTAATAAAATTAAATACGACAACAGTCTAGATCTTTGTCATGCTCTATACCGAATGAGAAAGAGACAGTTCATTGACTGTTGATCGCGACTTTTTAAAGATTAAAAATTTATGAAGTGGTATTGTTTTTATATAAAAAATGGAATTAAAAAAAAACACCTTTTTCTCCAAACCCAATTTTTTTCCCCCCATTAATCCCCCCAATTGTCTCCCCATCGCTTTGAAAACCCCACAAATTTGGGGGGAGTCCCCCCAATCTGGCATCAGTGTTGTAGAAAATGACATATTTTTTTTTAATTTATTTTCAATGGATACATTGTCCTTATGCCTGAGAAAATGACATATCAGTATTTGTGTTGCTACATAAAAATAATTAACACTAAATAAGACGGAATTTTCCTATGTTGTGCTATGAAAAATAAGGCTAAGCTGTGTTGTCTAGGGATGAGGTTGAGGTGTGGTATATGTTTGGATTTTCTAATAAAACCCCGACCACAACGACACCCAAAAATGTAATTCCATTGGAAGATGCTATTACTAATACATTTATATAAATACATATTTAAGAGCAAATAACGTAAATATTGAAGACTTATTCCTCTGTGATACGTAGTTATTTATAACAATATTGTTTGGTGCCTGATATTTGCGAAAAAAAGTTTTTATGTGTAAGACACTGGCCACTTGTAATTATTTTGAAAGTAAAAAAAAATAATCCAAGAAACTCAGACCAATTACGTACGAAGAGATTCAGCATACTTTGCAGATTGGTTCAGGTAGTGTTCACAAGGTTTTGCACGAGCACCTTTTGCGTAAGGAGGATAGTTTATTGTTGGGTGCCGCACAACCTCACCGAAGCTCAGAAGCAGGCCCGAGTGGATTGGTGCAGTGGTATGATACAAAAATTTGATGCAAGCTCGTCACAGCACCTTTACGATATTGTGACAGGCGATGAATCCTGGATTTATCAATACGATCCAGAAACAAAGCGTCAGTCGACAGTTTGGCTGTTTGAACCAACGCCTGCGAAAGTGAAGCGATCGAGGAGCGCAGGGAAAATTTTGATCTAAAGTTTCTTCACTTTGACGGGGTACCTACTTTCAATTCTACTTCGAGACCAAAGCAGCATCAACTCCGAATGGTATAGCACAAAATGCCAGCCAGAAGTTTTTTCTGCAATGAGCAACAAGCGGCCTAACACCAGGCTCCGCGGGGTCCTTCTTCACCACGACAAAGCGCCCGCGCACTTTGCGATCAAAACGAAGGACTTCCTGGACTCTACACCAGTCAGAGTCTTTGGACACCCTCCTTACAGTACCGATTTGGGTCCGTGTGACTTCTTTTTATTCCCTAAAATAAAAAATTAGCTCAAAGGGATCTAGTTTTCGAGCCTTAGAGAAGAAGGAGTGAGGGAGGCCTGGAAAAAATTATTTGAAAATTGGTTCAGACACATGAAATTTTGTATAGAGGCTGGTGGAGAGTACTTTGAAAAGATTTAATAAAAATATCTTTTTCATAGAAGTTAGTTTTTTTAGTTTCTAAAAACTTTCTGAGTGTCCCACGTAAACTACCACCATACTAGCAAGAGGCTGAAGGATCCCCTCAACCTCACCTCACTCACACCGTGGAACGTTGAACTACCTCGTGACAACGTGACATGACGTCACACTTTTTCATGCACGCCGCCGGTGTTCATCGATTTATAAGACGTTACCACGTCAAAAACCTCTGTTACCTCATTGCGAGGTTGACCCCTGTTTTGGCTTATTTGACTGGACTGTTATAGTCCACTTCCAATTGACAATTTAGTTATTTATTTTCTTTATTTTAATGCGAAAAACATTTTGTTAGTCTTGCAACACCAATATTTTGCGCTGTTGATTTAGAGGTAGGGATGTTCCGATACCATCAAGGTATCGATACCTACTCATTTCGATAGTACTCAAATCTTTTTTCGATACTACTTAAATAAATACTCCTAAAGTATCGATACTTACTGATATCGATACTTTTAGCACTTATTTTTATTTATTTTTCACTTTGAGGAAACTAAAGTAAACCAATAAACGTTGAAGAACAAAAATTAAAACAAAAGTGAGAAAAAACGAGAATATAAATGTTTTGCGTCACTTTTTTTTAACATTTTAGGAATTCAAAGGGATTATTTAATATTTTAGGAGAGCAGTCGCAATAAAGAAAAGTATAGGATCCTACCTTTCATTGGTCCCTTTATTTGCTTTTTCTCTAATTTGCCTTTATCCAAAGTTCACACAGAATTCCCAAATTTAAAACATTGTTTACATTTTGCAATTGTTTCGTTTGTTTTGGTAAAATTTTATTGATTTTGTTGGTGCCACGATAACATTGGAATAATAATCCGATGATTACAATAAATAAAATTACTTGAAAACAATCATTTGTATATTCAAATTAAATCTCGACTTGACAGTTTGAAAATTCACAATGATGACAACTTACATGGCGGGCGGACAGCTCTCTCGTTTTCGGCTCGGGCTCGGATGAAGTCGGACGAGTTCGGCTCGCCTGGCGCAACCACACCGCTATGCGATGAATACCGGTAACCGAGCGAAAGGGCTTTTGCTCTCTCATACTGTCTGCGTTCGGAAATTTTATCTTTTTAAAATGGTGATGCTGATTCGATTTGATACCAAGTACTTTTGTTTCGATACCGAGTATTTATCGCAAGATTGATTCGATGCTATAAATACTTGGTATCGAATCAAAAGTATCGAGTACCTACTCGTATTTACTAGTATCGGAACATCCCTATTTAGAGGTTTTGTGATTGTAATTGACAAAATTTACTCCTTTGTGAAATAAAATTTGAATTTTTAATAGAAATTCGGTTTCTTGTTTAAAAAAGTCACAATACTAGTTATATAAAGACATTGAGTGTGCATTAATTATACTTGTGATATATATCTATAAAATGAGCAGTTGGACCATGAGTTGGGTGAATAAAAAATAAAAGTTACACACCGCAAATAGCTATTTTGCTAAAAAATACTTCACAATGGTGTTTGAGTCAATTGTGGTGGATGTATTAAACAGATTTCTTGGAGATTATGTAGAAAATCTGAATAGATCCCAACTAAAGCTTGGAATATGGGGCGGTAAGTGTTTTTATTTCTGTATGATGTCATACCTGTCCAATTTATTAGAAGTTATTTACGGCCCTAATGATTATATTTCAGGCGACGTTGTATTAGAAAATTTAATACTGAAGCAGAATGCCTTGGAAGAGCTCAATATTCCAGTTCAAACAGTGTATGGACATTTAGGTGAGTATAAAAATATAGAGATATTGTACTTGTACTGTACTACAAAAATCCAGTCGCCAAAGAAAATGAAAAGAGGAAGAGAACACCAACAGACTCGCCCAATCAGCAAGATTTTAAAGATTAGTAATATTTAAAAAGCTACTATATTATCGTTGGTTTGATAAATACTTATGTGCAGTGTATTTAAGTTATTTCCAATCATTACACAAAATTTTTAAAACACATATGTTATTTTTAACTTTTTCTCTTTTATAATAATTAATTGAAGAAAAGATAAACATAGAAGTGTTTCTAAATCAATCTCTCGTGAATGGGGTGGTTTGAGCTTACATTTTTTAAAGTACTTTTGATTATGCTCTAATCTAATCTGTATTTGTGTAATTGAATAATAAAAAATCAGATCCATAACAAAAATATCTTATTTTAAATATTTGTAGCATAATTTACTTACAGATTAAGCAAAAAATATTATTGAAGTAGTTATTGAATCACCAAAAGTTGTTATCAACAACTTTAGTAATTTTAAATGTACTTATTTTTTTATATTCCTTTATAATATAATATTGAACAAAAGTAATAGCTTGTCCTATGGTTAAAAATCAGGGTCATGGCATGTGCTGAGCTGGAAACTTTTCTTGCTATAAACACATTTTTTTATAACTGCTGTTTTTTTTAGTGTACAGATAATAGAACTACTCAGCTTTCCATTAGCTGTGGTTGAGTAGCGAGCTGAAATTTTTGTCACGCAAAGTATTATTAGGCGAACTGCCAGAAAACTGTATTTTACCTTTTCTACAAAAATGTTCAAGTATACTAGTAGTACCTCTTGGGCCCTGAAAGTACAGTTTTTTTTGGGAGAAACGAATAGAACTCGAGAAAAAAGATGTTTGAATGTTTCTTGTTGTCTTACAAATGTTTAATACTTACCCACAATGTCAAATGAATACTTAAAAGTATACATTTGACATTGGGTTACCTACAATGCGAAGAAATGGTGCTGCCTTGCAGCTTAAGAATGGCTAGAAGAATTTCGACGCGACTGTCAGGGCCGCGGTAGCATAATTGGTCAGTGCATTCGCCTAGATTGCGAAGGGTGCAGGTTCAAGTCCCGTCTGCTGCCTGGTTCGTGTGGATTATTTTCTAGTTATATTTTCTTTAGATTTAAGCCGCAAGCATCGTGCTACCCATAGCGCCTGAGGCTGGTCGCCGCCGGAGATAGCGACCAACAAGCCGAAGGTGTGAAGGAGAGTGATGCTTGTGACTTTGTCACGCAAAGGCGGAGGGGCTGCTATTCCCGCAGCGCCGGAGATAAGGCAGAAGTACTGGTTCTTACTTCCCTAGTCCTTGTATCCTAAAAAATTAATGAATTTTTAGGTTAGCTTAATTTAAAAAAAAAACATGCATTTCCGCCTAATATTCTTAGTGGAAGGGGGTGGAGGGAGTCGGGGAGAACCCCCCCTCCTCCCCGCACTGAATTACCCCGAAATTTAACCACAGCTAATGGAATTATTAGGAAAATAAAATCTATTTTTTTACATAATTTCAGTATGTATCTTTTTTATAGTAAGTTCAACACCCCATTGTTCAAGGCTAGCAAAACACTTAGCATGTTACAGGCAGTAAGTAGCCTATAATTGGTGGCCGTTATAAAGTTCAGGTTGGATGACATCATGACCTCAAATCAGCCACTCTGATTGTGTTAATGCGGTCAGAATGTGAAGGTCAACATCAAATTTAGTTTTATTCATATGATAAAATATGTATAATTATCTTTAACGAAGTTTGTAGACTTACTACATTAAAATAAAGCTTTTATTAATGCATTTGTTATCAGTATCAGGGTTTATAGTTATTTTATATTATGCACAGTCATTTAATATATCAATTTGTTTCCACAAAGTTGCTTAGTGCTGAGCTAAAATGTTAGTACCTTTGTTACATATGCTAGTTATCTATGCATATTTCTTTACACTGCTCAGCTCTTCTTTACATTTTAATGTTTAATTAAACTTTTGTTTTAATTATAAATGTATGTAAAGAAATTGCCCATTATTTTTTAGTAGGTAGATCACATTAGTTGTCTCAACGCCTAATGGTTGTCTTCAGTTTGTAGTTCCAAATGTTTTCCTCTAGCATTATCTGCTTGAAATATTTGGTGAGCTATAGCAATAATGTTATCTGTAGATCTGAGTGTCTGACAAAGGAGAGGCCCATGTAGGTATAGATATATAACAATAAAGTGGTTTATTTTTAGATATTGTTACTGTTCTAATCCTTTGAATGAAATGCAGCATTCAAAGACGCCTTACTACAATATTAGCTTTTGCATGCGGTGCCCCATAGTATCCCAGCAACAGGAGACTGTATGATTTGATTTGTGACCTTGTAGCTATACCTTATTGACAATGTAAAATTAGTTCTTGATTTTCCAATTGTCTAATCTCCATGACGGATAAGCGAGGGATAGCATTGTCTCTTTGTACTGTCTGTAAACAGAGGTTATGGTGTGTCTGAGAATTGCCACAACAACATGTGGAAGTGGAACACTCACAAGGATTGTAATTTATATTGTGTTGATTGTTGAGTAGGTGCTTCTTTTTATATCTATCTTCATGCCGAGTCGCGGGTTGGGTAGGCAGAGAATAGAGTGCCATAAGACACGATCCTTATACACATCTTTAACTTCATACACGCTTGCCGGGTTTTGCGGCTTCTGACGTCAACTACCTTTAAAATGCAATCAATTTGATCGTGATAGGTAAGTCTTGGCCTTCCTCGGCTTCTACATCCTTCCACTATTGCTTGGTATATGTTTCGTCATTCTCTCTTTGGACATTCTTCCCACATTTCCGAACCAATGAAGCATGCCTCTGTAAATTTTAACACCGATACTCTTTTGCTTAGTTGCACATTACGAACGCGTTCTGAATTTGTGGAAATTTTACGTAATCCTCGAGTCTCGTCTCGACTGAGTCTCTGACATAGCCAACTCTCGCTTTCATCGCTTCGCGTTGGACTAGCACCGCGTTGTGTATAGCGAGCTATACTTTCTAGGTTAGGTTTTTATTACCAAGAAGTTTTCCCAAAGCTCCATTCACTCTATTTTCTGCACCCACTCTTCTACATCTTATTCTTTGCACCTCATGCATAATTAGGGTTCGTGTCCGTTTAAAACCTTGGTGTGGACGGGATATATATATAATGTCATCCGTTTTTGGAATTCCGCGCTGGTACTTTTGACGATAGGGATTTTGTGCTCACCTTCGAGGGCATCTGCGGGTTTCTGTATGTAAAGCGAATCTGCTTTTAATGTGCCATAGCAAAAGCTAAGTTTTTATCTAAAAAAAATAGTCTTTCCGATAATAAAATAAAGACAACTTGGAATATAATTAATAATGAAACTGGAAGAAATAAATTTAATGAACACACATATTCTTTAAAAATAGACAATAAGATTATTAGGACAGATGATGCCGTTGCAAACACTTTTGAAAGTTTCTTTTCTAGTGCACCATTTGAAACAACTAGAAATCTTAATTCTTGTTCTAGGTTAGCAATGACCCTCCTTGAGTCAAATGTTGATAAGTGCAGTAATGATTTTCATTTTAGACATATCAGTAGTGATTGTATTATAAAAACTTTTAACTCAATTAAAATTAAAAAGACAGAGGATTATTGGGGAATATCAACATATTATATAATAAAACCGATTATCACTGTTATTGCGCCACAACTGGCCATTATATTTAACAAATGTATTGATGAGGGAGTGTTTCCAGATCTAATGAAATGTGCTAAAGTTATCCCTCTCTTTAAGGCTGGTGACAAATCAGATCCCAGCAATTTTAGGCCTATATCTGTATTACCAGCACTAAGTAAAGTATTTGAGAAAATAATTTATAACCAATTACTAGCACACTTTTTTATAAATAAGCTATTTCATTTAAAACAGTTTGGTTTCACTAGAGGCAAAAGTACACTTCTCAAACACATCTTTGATATATGAGAGAGTAAGCACGATGCTATTGGCATTTTTTGCGACTTATCAAAGGCATTTGACTGCGTTAGCCATGAAACATTGTTAAATAAAATGAAGCATTATGGTGTATCAAATATTTCACTAAGTCTGATACAGTCTTATCTTTCTGCTAGGATTCAGAAAGTAGTTATAAATGAAGCTGAGTCTACAGGAGCACCCATTTCTATGGGCGTGCCCCAGGTTTCAATATTGGGCCCATTGCTTTTCCTTATTTATATCAATGACCTTCCTCACTTTACAAGAGATTTGTGTGAGACAGTACTATTTGCTGATGACACCTCTTTATTGCTTAAAGCTAGAAGAGGAAATGATTGTTATGACGAAGTAAATTGTGCTCTCTCTGAAGTCCTTCACTGCTTTACAGTAAATAATTTAAAACTTAACTCCAGTAAAACAAAATGCGTTAAGTTTACTCTACCTAATGTGAGGCAGGTTAATACTAGTATAAAAATAAATGACCAGCCTGTAGAGTTAGTGGATTCTACAAAGTTTCTGGGTATTACTTTAGACTCTCGTCTGCAATGGGATCCTAATATTGATGCCTTGTCAAGTAGATTGAGCTCTGCAGCTTTCGCTGTTAAAAAAATAAGACTCTTAACTGATGTGGAAACGGCAAGATTAGTTTACTTTGGTTACTTTCATAGTGTTATGTCATATGGCCTTTTGTTGTGGGGCTCAGCCGCTAATATCAAAAGTATTTTCATACTGCAAAAGAGAGCTGTTCGCGCCATATACAATTTAAAGGCAAGAGAATCCCTTAGAGAAAAATTTAAAGAAATTAATATTTTAACACTGGCGTCGCAATACATTTATGAAAATTTAATATATGTAAGAAAAAACTATGATGAATTTGCAAAAAAAAGTCAAACCCATAACTTTAACACGAGATTTAAGAACAAGCTTGCCGTTCCATGTTTCAGACTCCAAAAATCAAGAGGTTCATTTCGGGGTTGTAGTATTGCATTGTTTAATAAAGTTCCCCTAGCTCTGATTGAGCTTCCACTGACTAAATTTAAATCTCGGATCAAAAATGCTCTTAGGAATAAGGGCTATTATAAAGTTGATGATTATCTAAATGATCGTAATGCATGGACATAGTGTTTCTAGGGAAGATGCATATATAATATTTATGAAAATTTTATGATTAAAATGTTAAAAAAATATAAAAGAAATGCCACTGCAACGTTTTTATTTTACATAATGTTGTTTTTTAACAATTATTACGAATTAAAAATACTTGAAACAGAACGTATTTTAAAACACCAATCAGCGTTTAGTGACGTCACTCCTGTTATGACAACTTCTTTGAGGTTATGGTTGTTAAAGTAAATATTATTTTATGGGAAATTGGGAATATTTATTGCGTTTTTTTACATTTAATAAAAATTGAAGTTGCGTTTATCAAAGCAGACTCCAGGAATTTACCAAGAGTTAGCGTTGACATGGTTCTAACTTTTTTTGTCCAAAGTGCAGAGTTTTTTAGTGTAGAAATGAAAGGGACTTAATTACTACGGTATGTAAAAATCGTAGTTGTTAAACTTCGTATTTTATTCAGCGGCTTCTACAAATCTTACGGCGATAATGCAATCGGCTATGTCCAAATTAAAAGAGATGGAGAATTATGTACAGTAAAAGGTCGAGTTCCGGAGCATAAAGTACGTAAAGAAGGTTATCGTGTTACAGTTATTTTAAATGAAACGCAAAGCTTGGTTCAGTCCTGCCAATGTGAAGATTGTGCCACACATTTTAAACTTTATCTAATTTTCGAAGTCATTCTCCAACTGTAAAATTAAAAATATGTTATAGACAGGTTTTATAAGTATTAGGTAGGTTACTAATGCGTTTTTACGTACAAGCAGATTAATTAAGCATATAACAAGTATATTCGCCGACTTACGTCAAAGTGATCTTCTCAGCATCGAATAATGGTCTTTGGAGAATAATTGTCATTTCTCTTCGCAGCTTGAAACCACTTTTTTTTTCAGTTTTGGGTCAGAAGTTCCAGTCAAAAACAATTTATTTGGGAACTTTGTTGAAGTAGATTGGCACAAAACATGAGTCAACACGGCTTTTCAAAAAAATATTTCGAAAGTCGAAAACATGCAAAAGTATGAAAATTTAAAGCCAGCGACGAACAAGTACGACCAGTGACAGACAGGAGTGACGTCATCGCAACCATAGGTTCGTTTGAGCGCGAAAATTTAAATTGTCAATTTAAAACCGCATTTTTTCCGATAAATCACAATGTTTTAATTTTTTAATTTATCTGTGGTTTATTGTACATGGAATTCTTTAAAATGAAAACAAAAATAAAAATATTGCATCTTCCCTAAATGGGTATTAGTCATTTTTCATAACAGTGATATTGTACCTATCTAATGCCGCTTCCTATATACTAAATATAATGTTAACTATAAAATTAATTGTAACTATATATTTATATTCTGAATGATATAATGGAAAGTGACTTCTGACCACAGACATATCTTCTGACGTATTTCTGAAGTAATTTTTCAACTTGACGACACTGTATATAACAATACAGGGAGAAAAAAACAGCCCTTACTGAGTTTCTTGCCGGTTCTTCTCAGTACAAGGTCTCCCGCCGTAGTTTTGCGAACCGATGGCGTAGCTTCTTGACCTTCACAAGTGCTTGTAACAGCCTAGAGTGAATAAATGACATTTCATTTCATTTCAATGTTTACCGTAGGATTTGACTCGTTTTAACTTAAAGGGAAGAAATTGTTTCTATCCTTGTAGGAGAGTTTCCCCTGCTTGTTATCCCTTGTGAGGAGGGCTGCTGAGGCTTTGGCGTGTGAGATGCCACTATTTTCTTGATGAAAACTATATTAATTAATAGTTGATTGAGGTTAGACGCATGATAAACATGCGGATGTTAATTATTATCATAGAACTATTTACGTTATTTCTACATACATAGTGCGACACTAAAACTTATACGGGGTAGATATACAAAGCGTACTAAGTCAACATCATGGCCTTGACAAAGCACTTCTGTATAAAAAATCTGCCAGATGGCCTATCGGTAAGTGAAGGTAACAACTTTCACAAAGTATATGTTACCAACATTTTGTCTAGATCGGTAAGCCGTCAATCCGCGCCAGTTTGTTGGGTTACCTATAACCCTATATTATAACATAGCTTAATCTATAGGCATAATAAGTCCCAGCAGCGCGGTGACATTAACATGTTGACGAAGATGATAAAAATTACTGCCATGCTAACTACTAAAATCTGGATAGTACTAGCCGAAGACAGGGTAGAGCAAGTGGCTTTTGGTCGACGCTTCCATTTTCCACTTATATTTCTATTCCATTAGGAACAATTTTCGAATTTGGCTTTTTGGCACTTCGCCCTAAGCTCTACGCCAGGTTCGGAGCTTCATCTTGACAAACCTTTAATTTTCTTCGTACACGTTGTTGTAAGTAAAAGTAATTTCCTATCTCATTGTTGAAAATAATTTTCCCCAAACTGTATGCAAAAAAGACTATCGATTAATTGATTTTTCGCTCCCAGCTTAGCTTGGAAGTCGTCTAACTGTAGGTAAGTGGTTGAAGTGTAATGAGTCATCGTGGACACGTAACTAGCATCTTAAACAGAACCTACGATTGTTATAAATGCGAATCATCATCATCACTAAAAAATCGTAACTCTGTCAGTACTCGCAGTGTTCAACTTTTTATAGCTGTTACTAGCTGACCCAGCGAACTTCGTGTCGCCATAAAAATAGGAGCTGGTGGTAGAAATTTAGAATGTATGTAGTTTTTAATTCCACATTATACAAAAATAAAAGAAATAAAAAATATGTTATGGTTGGATAACCCTTGTGACTTAGGGGTATGAAAAATAGATAGTAGCCGATTCTCAGACCTACTGAATATGCATATAAAATTTCATAAAAATTGGCCAAACCGTTTCGGAGGGGTATGGTAACTAACACTGTGACACGAGAATTTTATATATAAGATTAAATTTATGGGAGATTCTCTATGTTTAAATACATTTTAAAATGATAAAGTATCACGAACATTGGATCGCTTTTACATTAGGTGATACTAGCAAACCAGTGAACCAAATGTTCACCAAAAAAAAAAAATGCATTGAATTAATTGAGAACTTCGGAGATTTTGTGTGGTTTCGTTTGAAATAGAAATCACGTGATTTCTCGAAAACCGGAAGTGCTACGTTACTCATATCCGGTTTGTAGTCTTATCAGACTATTCTTAACTTATAACTTAAACATTCTCTATATCTATCTCTTACGGTTTGGCCGCTGAAACAGCACCACGGACGGACGGACGGACGGACTTGTCTAATAGATAAGAGATGTTTATTTTCATGAATATTTTTGTACAGGAAAACTCGTTCTTAAAATACCATGGAAGAACTTATACGGTGCGTCTGTGGAGGCAACTGTGGATCGGTTGTTTTTGATCATCAACCCAACGGCTGAAGTTATTTACGATGCTGAGAAAGAAGAGAAGATGGCCCTAGCCTCGAAGCAAGCGGAACTCGCGAGGGTAGAAGAAGCTAAGAAAAGAGAAGCGGAAAAAGGTTTGTTGGCATATGTCAGGTTAACGGGATCGAACATCCAACTTATATCCTTTGTATTTCTACATTAAAGTCAAAATTAACTGTCATATTTTGTTACATTGTGTAGCTGTTGACGGTACCTACAGGATAAACAAATACGGTTTTCGGCGGTCTTGTTTGTTAATATGTTTCATTTGTTTAGTTCATATACATACCTACATGCTTGATAATTTAGTTAATATTTTCCTGTAACATTGAAAATTTGTTCACTCTTACCACAAAATAGATAGTAAAGAATTCACTCTATATACAAAGTGCGCTCAAGCAACGCGCACATAGACACCGCTCACTGACAAGATATCTCAGGCATTGTCCTAATACAACGCGATAACGCGAATGAGCGAATGATGTGATCATCGTACGAGTCGACGATCAAACATATTGATCTAGAATAAGTGTCCTAATAGGCGATCGCGCGATGCATTCGCGCGACTAAAATGTTTAAAAATCTATTCGCGCGATCTTAGTTCGCGCGAACGCGCGAAAAAAACCTATTAACGATGAATAGGTGTCCTAACTGAAGTTCGCGCGATGATCGCGTCGCGTCGATAGGAAGCGGGGAGAGGGACAGGACTAATCCGTTCCGTATTCGCGTTCTATTAGGACACCCAGTTCGCGATCACGCGATGGTCGCATCGTTTAAACGCGCGATGATCGCGTTATCGCGTTGTATTAGGACAATGCCTCAGACCGCTTGAGGCCACTGACTGCGAGCTCGGGTTCCATACGCTTGAAACACGCTTCTAACTTTTTTACGACAATGGAGTAAAAAATAAAAGTTAAAATAACATTTCAGTGGACAGTTGTTTGAATTCAATATTAAACTGTGAATTGTAGTTTTTTTTAATTTGTTCCAAATATAACAACATTTAAATACTTGGTTTATATTTCCTTTCTTCCTGTTTCGTTCTTAATAATAAATCAAATAGATACGTACGAGTGGCACTACCACGAATTTTTGTGCACAAGCCAATGTTGAAAATCCTAACAGTACAAACGCCGAGCGTAGGTATGAAAAGTAAAGTACATACTCGCAATTGAGATTACCTTCTGTATTATCTATGTTGTGCTTTTACCGTAAGGTTGTATTTTGCTCCCATTTACTTTTTAGACGAAAACAAACTGAATGAGACATTCGTTGAGAAGCTGGTCACGCAAATAATAAAAAATGTTCAGCTCAAGATCACCGACATTCACGTCCGCTACGAGGACAGTATAACGAATCCCAAGGCTCCGTTTTCCTTCGGCGTAACTCTTCACAACCTATCCGTCCATACTACTGATGAGAATTGGAAACAGACAGTCATACAGGAGGCTGTCACTAAAATTTTCAAGGTAAACAAATTGATTCATTCCAATTAAATTAGGAGCAGACAGAACGGTAGACTCTACCGGTGAGTATTCTTAATTTCACGTAGAAATGTCTGCTATTATAGGATCTAATTTGATGTATGCAGAAAATAGTGACTGGCTTGCTATCCCAACACGTAGTATTATTTCCGAAGCAGTCCAGGGGGCCAATCGCCTAACTGGATTGCTTTGGAAAACGCTATCGCTTACGATTTCATTTTGTTATTTCTAGCCCCCTGAGGTTTTCAAATGCCTCGCGCTCTTTTTTTTTCTTTTGCATTGGTAATAACAATGTTAAAGAAAATGAGCGTGAGGTATTTCGGCGGTTAGAAATAACAAAATGAAATCGTAAGCGATAGCGTTTTCCAAAGCAATCCAGTTAGGCGATTGGCCCCCAGGCCACTGAAAAACTCAATATATCAAGAAGAAGATAGCAGCTAGCTTATGTTTATGAATAGTCCCTCGTTTGACCACGATATTTTATTAGTAATATTATATGTTTAATAATATATTTCTGTTTTTCACTCACTTATAATATTGCATAGGAGTCGCTAACGCTTTTGCATAGCATTCTTAATATTATTAGGGTTAGTAACTTTACTATTTAGTAAACAAATTAGTATTAATTCAAAGCAAATAAGGAAAGCGCTATCTTGACAAAGTAGTACCTACACAAGATAACCTTTATTTATTATCCGATTAATATTGAATTGCCGTAAAGTGCATGACTTCCCAAATTACAGGCTCAATAAATCAAAATAAAGATAAACAACCGAATCGTCTAAGCCAGTGGTTCTCAAACTTTTTAAATGACGGAACCCTTTTGGGAAGCAAAATACTTGATGGAACCCTACAATAAAACAATTATTTTTATAAGTGTATTCTATATTAATCAGCATAATAAAAGTACAATGTATCCGTTACTAATTATTATTTACTTCACCACTTGGTAAGGACAATAATAGAAAACATTAAAAAAGAAAAAATCTAACTAGTGGGAGGTATGAAACTGTTTTTTATTTTTCATCAATTGCTTGATATCAGGTTTGATGGAAGAAAGTTGGAGTCTCATATCAGCTTCGGCGTCCAGTCTATTGCGATATTTTGTTTTCGTGGCTGCGTAGGTAGAGAATCCTGTTTCGCACAAATATGTAGTTGGGAACGGGAGAAGAATATCCAGAGCCATTTGGCCAAGCATTGCATATTCATCTTGGATTCTGCACCAAAAATCATTAAGAGGCGTCGTTTTGAACAATGACTCCATACTTGTGTCTGATGACATTTCTAAAAGAGATTCATATATCTCATTTGACATGTTTTCAGGCTTTTCCAAGTTGGGTAAAAAAGGATTATGAATCTGGATTCATAACTCCTGGGAGTTCACTTTAATTTTTGTATTGTGTTCTTCGGGAAAATACTTTTCAAAAGATGCGCGCATCGAACTGAGATATTGGACCAATTCTTCAAACACATTATCTTCAAACATTTCTGAGTCGTTTTCGCTAACAAACTCAGTGAGTAACGTAAAACTTTCTATTTCTTTCTTACCAATGCAAATGATCCAAAAATCTAATTTTCTTTTAAAAGTAGTTATTTTATTATAGGCCTGAAACACTGTTGTCTGTTTACCTTGCAATGATAAATTTAATTCGTTAAGTTTTTGAAAGATATCCGCCATAAAAGACAATCGGAACAACCAAGTTTTATCATACAAACGGTCCTTCAAATTAAAAGAAGTATCTGCTGAAAGAAACATTTGTAACTCGGCTCTAAGTTCAAATAGCCTTGTTAAAGTTTTTCCCCGAGACAGCCATCGCACTTCTGTATGGAGCAGCAGTGTTTTATGTTTGCTGCCATAATCTTCACACAATAATGAGAACAATCGGGATTGTAGTGGTCGTGATTTGATAAAATTAATTATTTTTACCGCTTCATCCATAACTAATTTTAGATTAGACGGCATTTGCTTCATCGCAAGTGCTTGTCTATGCAGAATACAATGACTGGAACTACAATTAGGCGCTTTATTTTTCATTCGTGACACTGCTCCTGCTGTTTTACCTGTCATCGCCTTGGCCCCATCTGTACAAATGTCAATGCAATTGTTCCAACTGAGATTATGTTCTTCAAAAAATATATTTATTTTATTAAAAATTTCTTCCCCGGTAGTGTTTGTAAGCAGCGATGAACACATAAGCATGTCTTCTTCAAAAGAACTTTTATATGGATATCTCACAATAACCAGCAGGATAGCCAAACCAGCGACATCAGTCGACTCGTCCATTTGCAAAGCGAATCGTGTATTTTGTAGACGTGTAACTAGTTCTTGTTTGACGTAGCTTGCCAGATCATGGATTCGTCGTGAAACAGTATCGTTTGATAGCGGAACAGTAGAAAGATGCTTTGCAGATTTTTCATCAAGCATACATTTTGTTATGTCTAATACACATGGTTTTATTAATTTCTCAGCGATAGTGTGCGCTTCACCTGCTTGTGCAATGCGATAGCTAACTAAGTATGATGCCTCCGTGGCCTTTTCGTTGGTAGTTTGTGTTACATGCATCATATTTTTTTGACTTTCTAATAACTGATCTTTTTTGCGAACAAAAAATTCTTTATTCTTGTCTTTAGTCTCGGGGTGTACGGTTTCTAAATGTCGACGCAATTTGGCAGGTGCCATGGAACTATTAGGAAGCAGTTTACTACAGAGCATGCAGAGAGGTGAGCCGTTGGAATCAACAAATCCGAAACTGATATAAGATTCATCATACTTCCTTTTTTTCGTCTTTGAAACCGTCGAGCTTGACGTCGTGGCACTCGTGGCATCATCTTCTGGATCGGTGATTGCTAAATTCTCCGCGCGCATTGCTTTTGAACATTCAGCGTCATTAGAAGATGTTGTTGGAACACGTTTAACACCTTTAAGCCAACGTTCCATTCTTCTTTATTTATAATGTTACAAGTCAGGATAGTGGGGTTTAAATAATGCACAATCGTTACTGCGTATAAGAGACTAAATTTAGAACCTACAGGGAAGAAATGTATAAAACTGAGACAACAGAATACAGCAGGCAGTAAAACAATGAACACCAGTTTCTCGCTAGCGAGCTTGTAAGTAGGTAGTAACTTATCGCTCCGAACGCTAATCATCAACTGACGACGCCAACGCGCGATCGCCGCTTTTATACTTAGTCCTAGACTCGATCTCAAATATTCTCGAAAATACTCGAGTCGGCACCTTTGATAAACAAAAAGCAAAAATAAAAACAGAAATTTAAAAATAGCGTTGTAAACAATATCGACTTTATCCTTTGAAGTTAGAGACGAAAGTCGCTAGTTGACAACTATAGCGTCTAATTCAGAGGCGGCTTTTATCAAAGAGACTGAGCGCTTACAAGTATACTACCCGCTCGTTTTAAGTTTGCCGCTGGCGATAGGTATGAGTGTATGACGTTCGAAATTTTTTATTTAATTGTAACAATAAAAATTGTGTACGTTAGATATTTGGGTAAAACTATGACACATTATAAGTTTTGTTGTCACGTGGGGGAGGGTACGCGCATTCCACAGACCGGCAAACTTAGAGCGAACGCGTTGTACAAGTATAAAATTGTTGAGACCAAACTTATGAGATATTGTACCAGCTAATGTAACACAAGCTTATACAAATACAAATAAATAAATAAATAACATTCATAGCGTTTTGTCTCCGCGCGGCCGCGGAGTCCGCACAGCCGCGGAGCGACCAGAGAGAGGTGTTTTGATTTTTTTATTTCTAAATTCTTGCGGAACCCCGACAGAGGTATCACGGAACCCTAGGGTTCCGCGGAACACACTTAGAGTATAGCTGGTCTAAGCTAACATATTATTTATAAATATTTCCTTATAGGTACTTAATTTGGAAGGATTGGCGATTTACTGGAATCCCGCCACTGAACTTTATTCTAAGAGTAGCCCAGATGATATTAGGACGAGGCTACAAAATGAAATCGCTACTAAAACATCGCAACCATCTTTCTATAAATATGGTGAGTATTAATTACTATGGAGCTCAGCTTAGGTACTAGGTAACTCAGCTTAATATGGAGTAAAACTACTAGCAAAATAACTATGGACTTTTTTATTATTATCAGCTCTGGGGCCAATAAATGCTACAGCAAAGCTGAAACTAAATCCCAAACCAGAAGGCGACACTCCGAAGTTTAGCATACCAAAAGTGATATTTAGCCTTCACATGGAACAGCTGTCAGTGAGTTTAACGAAGGCTCAGTATCAAGATATGATGCTCCTTGCTGACTCTATGGATAGAATGGCTAAAGGCATGCCTTACAGGTATGAATGTCATTGTGTTCAAACAATGCTAATTGTCAATTTTATGTTGACCTATGTTTTGGTTTCATTGGTATGGACGGAGAGGTAAGAAGTTTTGGCGATCTTGTCGAGGCAATGTGTGCATAGAATACACGCTAAGACGAATGTAATTAAGATACTAGCGGCCGCGCGCGACTTAACCGCTTTAAATTTTGTTTCTTTTAGGAAAGATTAGATAGATTATTCTCATTCTCATATCATCGTTTGAGTTACTCCTGTATTAAACGCACGCGTTATTAAGCAATTTTATTTGTTGGGCTTTTAGAATGAACACATATTACATTATATTTAAATTAAATTTTTATTTTGGTAATTACATTTTCAGAAAGACCATAATCCTTTAAATTTCTATTTCGTACTTTGAATTTACATAGTTTTCTCGTAACGCCCAATTTATCTTGTCGTTGGCAACTCGACGTTGCAATAAATTAGTCGTCCCCTTATTTTGGCTAAGGCCCAGTAAAGGCTTTTGACCGCTTAAGTAATATTTTTTGTTTATTATGAGGAAAATGCAACTTAAAGTATTATAAGATGAAATTATTTACCCGCGTGGCCTACAACATTCAGAAATTACCATTTCTTGCTTTTCTAGATAATCATTCAGATGTTGAACTATCAACTCCCATATTAACAACTTAAAAAGGGATGCTAAACTTACTTAAAAAGTCTTTGAACTTAAGATTGCTGGGCCGTAGGGGATGTACTACAAAAAAAAGTTTACAATATTTTTTTATTGATTTCTCTAAATTTTTAGGTACTTACCTACATTTTATCTTAAAATTTGACAAAGTCTCATTCAAACGTTTATCCCCCTATTAAAAACCTAAGGCCGCCATACACGGCAGTTCGAAGCAGTTGAGATGGATTGCTTCAAGTTGCGACTGCATAGTGTGATTAAACCTACAGTCACGTCTTCTATGTACAGACATACATGGACCGCTCGAGCAGTTGCGTCTCGTTGCTCAATTTTTATAATATTGTATTGTTGAGGTACAAATATAATTTGTCTATGCACCTATTTTATTTGTATTTTGATTGTAACTTGTTGAGGAGTTATCAATGGCAGCTTCAAGCTGTTGACTCTGACTGCTCGAACAGTCCGTGTATTGCCGCTTTAAGGAGATGAATTTCCAATAATCTCTGTTTTTGTGCAAAATTTAATTCTCCAATATCCTATGGTTTCTTTTATTTAAAGATTATGATATCCTGGGAGTGGGAAAATTAAGTGTAGAATACTTCACCGCATGATTTCCTCGCAATTGAAGGCTTCTGTCGATAATGAGAATGATATTATGTTAATGTCTATAACGCGTTTCTATTAATTCGCTACTGAAACTCAACACCATTATCGAACTTTTGATTCTTAGTTTACCTCGGGACTGATAAGGCGAAAATCTATCTATATAGGTATTTATATTTTTTTTGTAGAAAATACCGTCCTGACGTGAAAATATACAAAGGCCACTACAAAGAGTGGTGGCATTTCGCTTACAAGTGCATTTTGGAGGAAGATGTACGGCGCCAACGTAGAAACTGGCAATGGGCTCATATGCTCTCTCATAGGCAGCTGTGTAAGAGCTACGCGACCGCCTACCATTCGAAACTCAGCAACAATGGAAAAGTGTCCACCGAAAACCAGTGTGTGATAAATGAGGCTGAGAAAAAGCTTGATTTATTCAACCTGGTTGTGATTAGACAACAAATCGAGTTGGAGGTAAGTAATGTGCTATTGTTTCATATAATGCATTAAATTGTTATTTTATTAAAGTTTCTTGCAAAGTTACTAAGCCATTACAAAAAAAAAATATTACCGACATCTTGTAATGTTACCGTTAGCCTGTATAAGTGAAGGTGGAAAAATTCCTTATGTATGGGTTCTTCAATTCTTCAAAGAAAGCTTTACTTACTTCCATTTTAGCACTAGTTTCTGAAACATTTACACTGTCGCGTACCTAACGATACCTTTGTTAGTTTTAAGATGTCCCAGAAGACTCACTGTTTAAGCTTAAATGTTTGAACGTACGTAGGTGGAAAGACTGGGGAAACTGGAAGCAGAGGCGAACAAATCTCGAGGCTGGTTTAGCGGATGGTGGGGCGGCGGTTCTAAATCGGAGGAGTTGGCGGAGGGCACTGCTATACGTAAGTCTAATATAATATTTAGGTCCTTTGTAATATTCATCATCATCATCAGTCTATTAATGTCCCCACTGCTGGGCCACAGGCCTTCCCTATGGATGGAATAGGAAGATTGGGTCATCACATAACACGCGGGCCCAGTGCGGTGGGCCATTGGTGGGTGCTGACGATTGCAGATGCAGCCTGGCCAACGGCTTAATGTGTCGGCTTCTATTGCATATCCCAGTCTCTCTTGACATGCGATCAAGTCCGGGAGATGATTCATATACACAAGTGATTTTAATGATAGATGCACCCCTTGTCCTGCAGTGGACGCCCGTCAGTTGATAAGGCAGGAAAAAACAAATTAATATTAGGAAAACTATTATATTAATTATTACTTTGATGAAACTGCAGTGGACGTCCCAAGTGTCGATGTTAATGGTAAAATTGATTGTGATTGGGAAATAACAAATTAAATACTAAGAGAACTTATAACTATTTTACAGTGAAACAATTTGAAAAGGCTATGACGCCGGAGGAGAAAGACAAGCTCTTCCGCGCTATAGACTACCAGGAGAACACGGCGCCGCTCCACCTGCCCACAGAGTATGTGGCCATAGAGGGTCACTTCCGTTTAGATCGACTGCAGGTTTCCGTGAACGATATAGCTGAAGTTTTGAAGGCATCTGTCGATAACGTGATTGTTGATATGAAACAGCGACCTAGTGCCAATGCGTTAAGGTGAGTTTTTCAATGACATTGTATTTTAATATTTAGTTCAAAACTTAAAGAAGTATAGTGCATTAGCATTGCACCCACAAATCAGCAGTGGATTTGCATGAAACATTTGAGATTCATGCCTAATATATGTTTCTATGTGTAACGAAAGCCAGTGCCCTAATAATAGAAACAATATAAGACTATTTACTTTTGCCTTACATTATAAAGTATAACGTATAAAGTATCACGAGCTACAAAGAAATCAGAAGGTCGGCTCCCGCCATCTTCGAATCAACATATTGAATTGTAAATGTTGTTACATTAGACTTTTAATGTTGTGGAGATTTTTTCGCTCGTTTTTCTCCGCAGCTAAAAAATATGTCCATAACGAGTGGTAGGGAAAAAGTTTTTGGACGATTCAAAAGAGTTGTACTATACATCCAATTTGAAAAAAGATATATTGATTTCTGATTGATTTCTGATTTCGAAAACCTTTGATTATTTTGGCTATTGATTTTTATGCCGGAAATTAAAATGCTATTCCTTTCTCATTTGCTATTTGTAAACTTGACAGCAGTCTCTCCTTTTCACTTCCCATAGAGTATGATAAGGACAACCTGCTGTCAAAGTGACAAATAGCAAATACGAATAGGCATGTGAAGTGCCGTCTTGATATCACGTGTCGCGAATAAAAACTGCTTGAATCCCTGTTAACATAAAGTTGAATGTGTGCGTAACAGAAACGACGCTTTCCGAGCCAACTCTTCATGAGAGCGCGTAGCTTCCGTATTTTATGGTTATATCTAATGCATATCCGTTTATCTTAACAGTGCGACAAGGAGTATTTATGAATGTGAGTGACAGTTCATGGAGGGCGCCACTGTCTACGTAAATGATCTTCTTCGTTTTATCTCTTTTGGTTGTGCCTTCTCAATACCGCCAATATCACGTAGGTAGCTTTTAAATGTAGGGGAACAGTTTAGTACAACGCAATTTAGAATTGATGGTTTCTATGCAGACTCTGAACAGGTTTATTCGCGAATGACTGTGAATGACATACAAAATATGAAGTTTACCAAGACGGCGGCGTTAGTTCCAATTTTCGCCACATTCATAAAGATTCTTGTCGCACTATAAGTCCACATGAGTAATCAAGTCTATCTTATTGTTTTATCCCGTCTGCTTCTAGAGTCGATGTCCTAATGCAGGCATTCACGGTATCAGGTGTGCAGCAAGGTGACTTCGTACCCCAGCTGGTCGTCTCTAAGGAAGTCACTCAGTACGTTAACTTGCTTAACGTGGTGTTCGAAACAAACCCACTCGGTGAGTGATTGTTCTGAGGGTTTGATGTTGAAGATTTTAGTTTTACTGAGGGTGTTTTAGAAATTATCGCTCCGCCTTCCGAAATATCGTATTATTACGTCAAAAAAGACTGCCAACCAAATAGTATATTTTTTTTTATATAGCCAGGGAGGCAAATGATTATACCGCTCATGATGTTAAGTGGTAATAAAGTTCAAACGCGATGATAGCTGGTACAGCAGTTATAAACTGCCACACCAACCAAAGATAAAATATACTTATATATATATATATATATCAGTATATGTATTCTATCCGTTAACCTAGCCTCTGCATAACACAAGCCTTACAGTGCTTACTTTGGGGCTAGGCTAATTGGTGTGAGTGTGGGAAATATTTATTACTATTTATTTATAATTATGGACCTCTATTTCGCGTCGTCGTCTAGCATCCTCAAACAGGTCCTGCCAGAATACCAGCGCTGTTATGTTGTGGAATATATTTTTAATATATTCTATAAAATAACAGTATCAAGCTGAGGCAAGGCCCTGATTGGCCATCTTCTTAATTATGTTTATTTCTAGCCTCTTAATGTTTTGTTGTAGTTATTTTTATATTATAATTTTTATAATAAAAGCTTTTTTTTCTTTCTATTGCACACTAACAATAGACCCTATTGTTGTGTTACGTTACGACCCTACGTTAAAGCGTGTGATGGAGAAATCAATCATCAATTTATTTATTTATATTTTTCTGTTAAATTGTTTGTCCCAATCTTTAAATATAAGCAGTTTTCGAAAATTTGGACAATACCCTATTGTTTTACAATTGGACAGATAACGCTCAGCCCATTCTTTATGTCGATCCCTGTGCCCTACTTTACTTAAAATCAAATTTTCAACGTTAACAGATGGTGCGTGCGATCAGAGAATAAAAGTGTCCGCTAAACCGCTTCAAATAGTGTACGACGCACAAACGGTCATAGAGATCGTTAACGTGTTCAAACCGCCCACCGAATCTTCAGCTTTAACAACGTAAGTTTTGTTCTATATAATTAGTATATATAATAACTAGCTGTCCCAGCGAACTTCGTACCGCCATAAAAAATAGGGGTTGGTGGTAGAAGGGTGAAAATTTAGGGTTGTATGTATTTTTGTATGATGTATCATATAAAAGAACAAAAAAAATGTATATATATATATATATATAAATTTTTTTGTTTTATATATATATATTATATTTTATATATACCCTTAACATTTAGGGGGATGAAAAATAGATGTTGTCGGATTCTCAGACCTACTGAATAGGTATAAAAAAATCACGAAAATCGGTCGACCGTTTCGGAGTAGTTCAATTACGCACACCGTGACACGAGAATTTTTATATTAGATAAGTGATAAGTTTTGTCCCGGTTCAAATCCCGGTGGGGGCAGATGTTTGTGTGATGAATACGAGCATTTGTACTCCGGTCACGGCTGTTTAATGTGTATTTCTATATAAATATACTTATACATGAGGAGGTGGGGAACAAAACAGTATAATTACGCATCTGGTCAAACTACATTTTTTTACAGTCTGGATGTTTTGGGTCCGTTGAATATCAATCTCAAATAATTCTCAATCAAAACCTAAAACAGTGTTAAAATTACTAAATTCATAAATTAAAAACCATGCCAAAAGCTCACTGTAGGTATGTCATTCAGTTTGAAAGAGCTCCTGTAAAAAATATTTTTTTGTAATTTTACTGTTTTGTTCGCCGGCTCCTCATGTATTCTATCCGTTACCCTAGTATCCTATAACACAAGCCTACAGTGCTTACTTTGGGGCTAGGCTTATTGGTGACTGTTGGAAATATTTATTGAAGTGATCACTTATGGGAGGCTTCGTTACGTAACGTGTTACGGCGCCAGTCTGTCTGGCTACCCTTCCTCTCACGCATACGGCAGCGGTAGGCAGGTTGCTTCTCTCTCACTCTAACCCGCAGCGTCGCTTAGATTAGTTTAAGTTATCACTTCTGTCGTGCGTCCCTAGACGCACACGATTTTTTTTTATTTGTTTATAACATCTTCTCCGTCCCTGTTCCCGTTATCTGGGGTCGGGTCTCCTCACTCTACGGCGCCAGGTTGATCTGTCCTGGGTCTGGGGCAATTGAGCTTTCTTAAGGTCTTTTTCGACGTTTGACCACCAGGTCGATTGCGGGCGGCCTCTACCTTTCTTTTGTTCTGGCAAGCTTAATGCGATTTTCACTGCATGGTCTTCGTCCAGTCTCATGATATGGCCATACCATCTAAGGAGATTTTCCGTCATTTTGTCTGTGATTGGTGCTTTGGTGTTATTTGTTTATAACATATGCTAAATTTATTATTTTTATTAAAACGTCTTTTGTCTTTTGGAAAATCATTTCTTAGCGGCTATCTACTCGTTTTACTTTGACGTCATTTATTCCACAAGGGCAGTTTATAAGATTGTTCTTCTGATAAGAACGGTAACTACCCGCGTGCCAAATTTCAGCGCAATCCGTTCAGTGGTTTGATTTGTGTGTTTATAGATCAGTCAGTAATGGTTGTATTTTATATTTACATTTATTATATTAAAAGTAAATTTGAATCATAAATTTTGTAATAATAGTCTTTATACGTGGTAAAGAAAATATGATAAATATATAAAATATATATAGAAGAAAAAATATTAATTTGTTTCATAAAAACAGTGACGTTCACACACTTAATACGAGAAACAAAAATAAACTAACTTTACCTGCTACTAGGCTTCACAAATTCAATAATTCATTCAAAGGTTTTTGTGTTCGCTTATACAATAAAGTCCCAAGCAATATCCAAAACAAATAAATTCAAAGATAGTATTAAAAAGCACTTATTAAAAAAGCTTATTACAAAGTGCCTGATTATATTACAGACAAAAATGCTTGGGTTTGAACTGTTCCAATTATTCCAACAGGTATTCTATATTAAATAAATCATGATTGTATTGACGCTGTAGTAACATATTGATTTGTAAATGTTGTTACATTATACTTTTAATGCTGTGGAGTTTTTTTCGCTCGTTTTTCTCCGCAGCTAAAAAATAAGTCCAATAACGAGTGGTAGGGGAAAAAATTTTTTTTGATGATTCAAAACGGTTGTATGTACATCCAATATGAATAAAGATATTTTGGTTTCTGATGAATTTCTGATTGATACTGTTTTAGTTTACAAGCGGCCGCTGAGAATAAACTATCGGACTTGAAGGAGAAGTCAGCTCTAGGAATGCAATATGCCGTCCACCATCATACGTTCATAGAATTGGATGTTGATATAGCCGCTTCCTATATTATTGTGCCGCAAACCGGAAAGTATAGGGGGTAAGTTGCAAATATTAAACCAAGGAAATTATGTGCAAAAGTTATAAATTGTTATATCTAAAGAAAGATTACTTTGTAGTAATTTTTTTTAGATAAATATACTTATAGCCATGGAATGGTTAGTAACCTCAACCTATATAGGTTGAGTCAACGTTCAGGTTTATACTTTATGCCAAAAATCATTACATCCAAATTTGATATGATAATTTTAATAGTTTAGATGAAAGATGTGTTTAAATAATTTTTAAGATTTTATCAATTCAAAATTTATGCTATCAATGACAGTATTGATAAATTATTTGATCCTAAAGGTCAAATATTGAAAAATCTATTACAAAATCAATCTGTACACAGATCAATTTTTTATATTTAGTTACTTTTGAGTAACTAACTGTAGTCACTCAGAAGTTTATTACATTGATTTTATTAGCATTAAACTACTAGATTTATAACTCTAAGGATTAATTTACATGTTCCAAACTGAAACCTTTTTCTATCCGGGCAGTTCGAACTCTGTCTGATGCTTGGACTGCATTTTGTTCTAGTAAAATATTCTTTTGATAACTGATTACTGAAAAGCTATCAATGTATATTTACAGCGAAGAGGCATGCTTGGTAGTGAAACTCGGTGCTATAAGCGTCAAATCCGAACCGCGCTCGCAGGAACAACTCAACGTTCACAAACTTTACAAGGACGGACTGGCCGATGAAGAGATCATGCAGGAGATCGCACATCACAGCTACGACAAAATGGCGCTCAAATTCACCGCGATGCAGGTAATGTTAAAATAGCGGAATATAAGAGCGATCGCATTGACAACTCAATGTGCACAAACTTTACAAGGACGGACTGGCCGATGAAGAGATAATGCAGGAGATCGCACATCACAGCTACGACAAAATGGCGCTCAAATTCACCGCGATGCAGGTAATGTTACAGTAGCGGAATATAAGAGCGATCACAGGGACAACTCAATGTGCCCCAACTTTACAAGGACGGACTGGCCCATGAAGAGATAATGCAAGTGATCGCACACCACAGCTACGACAAAATGGCGCTCAAATTCACCGCGATGCAGGTAATGTTACAATAGCGGAATATAAGAGGGATCGCAAGGACAACTCAATGTGCACAAACTTTACAAGGACGGACTGGCCCATGAAGAGATAATGCATAAATGCATGAATGATAATGAGATCGCACACCACAGCTACGACAAAATGGCGCTCAAATTCACCGCGATGCAGGTACTTTAATGTTACAATAGTCAAACACAGGACAGAAGTAGAAGTAGTCCCGATTTTTAAAGTTAAAAAATAATTTCTCCTTTTAAAAGAAAAGCCAATGGTTTTCGTTGAGAAAAAATAGAAAACTAATAATTTATGTTACATTCCTGAGAGGAACTGAAATAGTTAAAATTTTTGATGCAATTTTAATATTACCATGATGTAGAACTGCCATTTAAATGCTAGCACTTCACGTGGCTATTCGTATTTGCTGTATGTAATTTTGACAGCAGGTTGTCCTTGTCATACTCTATAGGAAATAAAAACAAGAAACTGTTGTCAAGTTTACAAAGAGTAAATACAAATGGCCCATATAATATGTAGTGCCGGAATTACACACACATTCTGTCATCTAATGGTTCATTTAGTGTACTTTTGTTATTACGAAAATAGACCTTATGCTTCTAATACTTGAGCTTTTTCTTCAGATCGTAATAGCACAGTCGAAGGAGAATTGGCAAGACGCGATCGCTTCTCAGGAACCGACTCCCCTGCATTTGCTGCAGCCCAGCAATCTGCTAATACAAATACACAAGTGCCTCATCACCAACGATCCTCGTTTGCCTAAAATAAGAGTACGAGGGGAACTAGAGAAAGTGGCTATCAGCGCCTCTGAGGATAGGTAAGAGCGTTTTTAAACTTATTTTGACTAGCAAACTGCTTAAATAGCTAGCTACATAAGTATCTCATCACCCCTATACTCGTCTGCTCAAAATAGGGTATTTGACAAGTTTAAGAAAAAGTTAATATTCATAATTCTGTTGTGTATAATATTTCAGTAAAAAAACAATCAAAAATTCTTATTTTCAAGTTGCCGCGATAACGTTTTTCTGAACATTATGATGTCTCACTAGCATGTGACGTCACACGACTTTCATTAATGTAATTTCACTTTGGCCGGAAGTTTCTAGCGTGTGACGTAATTTTAGTCTTCGCCAATCGCAATCGCGTTTTCGGTCACGTGACCATAGAACAAAAATTTCTTAGAAAAGTTATGAATTGTTTGTTCTCTCAGGATAGTAACATCGCTGCTAATATTCATATTAAATACTAATGAACAATTGGCACTTTGTTTCTCATGCTGTCTAATACCCTTTTTGAGTTCGAGGGGAACTAGAGAAAGTGCCTCTGAGGATAGGTAACATTACTAAACTGCCTTTGTTTGACGATGACAAAGTAATTGCGCGGTTGTATGCACATTTTTTCTTAATCCGTTCAGGCGTTTTTACCTAAATGAACATACAAACATAGTAACTTCTATATTTATCACTTTAGTTTGATAATTAGCTTATTATATTGTACGTTTTTTAGAATAGGCAGGACTTCGATAGAACAATATTTCAAAAAAGGTCATGCCCATTCTGAGTAAATAATTATTGTGACAAAAATTATAGGCGCCTTGTTTTTTTTTAGGTTATTGACGCTTTGTGAGATTATTGTCAGCATGCCTTTACCACAGTCAGAGGAATCTACACAATTAAAGGTAACTAATATCATAACATCAACTAGAACTTCTCGTTATATTTTTCTTTATTTTATTATTTTCTTTCTGATTTCCATATAAAGCTGTTTTGCTTCAAATTTGCGTATACAGTAACCGGTCAAGTTATAGAATCACCACTCTTGTTGAATCAAGAACGGGATGCAGTGGTAACTTCAAACATAAGTTTTTTTATCATAATTTGTAAGCCTTTATTTTTTATTTGTAGACTAGCAACACTATAGTGACATACCATTAATAATTTTCTAATTGATAGATTCTATAGGTACGAACATGATACTAAACGAATGAGGCTTTATTTGTATCACATATTGCCTATTTAGTGCGCATTAGTCTAGTCTGTACTAAATGTGTGTCAGAAACTACCAAAACAAGGTAAAAAAAACTTTTAGATACATAAAACGAAGGAACTTTTAACAACTTGCATTTTATTACACAGAATCAATTGCAATATAATAGGAATATTAATTGATGGATATGTAAATATATGAGAATATTCATAGGGACTTTCGTGGGACTGTGTCTGTCCGTCTAGTGGCCGAGGAAGCGTTGTCAGAAGCGAACGAAATTCAATGTCTATATTCTACGAAGTCAGTGGTAACCTTTGTTAGATATTTAGGATTGCCAGCTAAAACCATTTTGATATAATACATAGACTTATATCATCGTTTTGAACAGCTCTCGTAGTTTTTTTTTACTTTATAGATTGTAAATACATTTTCGTACCTACACGGACCAAAAGGTAAAGACAATTCCGTTAGTGTATACTAGTGTAATATGAAAAAAATAGGAATTCAGTTGTAAACAATTTAGAAAATTTGGTGTATTTCATTCACAGTCAATTATTACATTTATTATAATTCAAGTAATTGTAAATAAATATATTTACAACAAAGAGATTTTTAGAACTATGTTATTTAATAACGTTGATCCCATCCCATAGAAACTGTATTCAGGAAAATTATTTCTAGTTTGGTTAAATATATAATGTTATATTTCCAACTGCTTCTTGGATAACTATGGTGATGATTATTGTTTCAGCCAAGTGAGTCTAAGGGTTCAAGTTTATCGTTATTGAAATATCTTGACCCTGTAGAGAAACAGAAAAGAGATTCTGCTAGATCGAATCAAAGAAACTCGGACGAACAATCCATTCAACTCACTGAAGTAGAAGCTTTCTTCATTATGAAAGGTTAGTTCACTTTGATTCAGTGTTGTTCAAAAAATAGAATTGTCCTTTCTTAGTAAGAAAATTGATTTAAAAGCAACTTACCAACAGCCTATTTATATCCCCACTCCTGGGGCCCAGGCCTTCCCTATGGATGAAATAGGGGGATTGGGCCATATCCCACCACGCGGGCCCAGTGAGGATTGGTGGGTGCTAACGACTGCAGATGCAGCCGCGGGACCAACGGCCTTAGGTGCCATTCGAAGTACGAAAGAGCTAGATATAATAAGTTTTTGATCACCCATTCAATGACCGACCATTGCGAAAGATGCTTAGCTTCCATGATCGCTGGCCGGCAGATGTCTGTGTGATGAAAACGATCATTTGTACTCCAGTCATGGATGTTTAATATGTATTTCTATATAAATATACTTATATATGTACTGTATATGTATTCTATCCGTTACCCTAGTATCCCATAACACAAGCCTTATATTGCTTACTTTGGGGCTAGGCTAATTGGTGTGAGAGTTGGAAATATTTATTTTTATTTAATTTTCTTTCAGAGTTGGTGCTCAGCGTGAACCGTAAGATTTCCGAGTCAGGGACGCACGACAGATTCTTAGTGTTTTCCCTTAACCAGTTGGAACTAACTGCGGTTCAGAAGACGTTCACATTGGAGGCCACAGTACGCCTCGGCTCTGTGGGCCTCCAGCACCATAGAGTGGGCTGTCAAGTCATAGACATGATAGAAACGCCCGATGTCGATGTGCCTGATAAGACGACAGCAATCGTTACTGAAGACGGTGTTTGCAATCAATACCTGTTCGCAGTCACTTACAGAAATGTCAGTATTTTTTGTTTCTGACTTGGAATTTTGTACTTATTCTAATGGAGTGCATGTATTTTTTAATTCAGCCCAAAACAATGCGTTTTGTATAAAATTTATCGCAATTATTTCATTCTGAAAGTATTTTTACGAATGGCGGTGTATCATTGGTTATAAATAATAGCGTCGCTTGAAACTGAAATTTCTCTCTCCGTTGATAGTAATAAAAAAAGATTACATATTAAATTATATTTTAGGTTGATAAAAAATGTCCGGAGTTCCGGAGCCATTATGGTTCTGTAGAACAGATGATTGAGCTCAATTTCGCTACTTTACGGGTGTTGCTCCATCAAGAAGGTCTTCAAGAGATCTTAGTTATCATCAACGAATACCAGGTATGTACCGATCATGAAAATAAGATTTATAAAAATGTGTGGTTTTTAATTTTAATAAACACTTTGTTGTCTTCAGACGAGATTACAATCTGTTCAAAGCACATTGGATCGCACTGCAAACGCAGGACCTTTAGAAACTATTATGGAAGATGAGGAATTTAACGCAGCAAAATCTAAAGGTAAATGAGAATATTGAATGTTGACAACTTGTTGTTATCTCAAATGCTATCTTATAATAATGTTTTGCCTTCCGCTTTACAATGAAATAATAGTAAAGAAGACTCATCTTGAAGTACCTTTGATACTTACCATATTCGGGAGAACTTATAAACTACGTTATAAAATTTTTTACCTCCTCCCCTGTCTGCGTCTCAGGTTTTCACATATTTTACACATATACCACCATCAATAAAATAATAAAATTAAAGATTTGCGCTTTTTTAGGGTTCTGTACCTCAAAAGAGAAAAACGGAACCCTTATCGTTTTTCTCAGGAACCCGTAGAGGTATAAACTGAAATTCATATCAAATACTCAGGTCCACTGACCCTTGGAGCTGTGAAAAAAAACAAACTTCTAAGCCAAAGCAATCAAAAGATACAGCCGTTTATGCCGCAAATTTTCGAAACTCGCAGGGGAATCAAAACCTACAGTGTACTTCCCGTGAATTTAGAATCTTGAAATTTGGTACGAAGTAACGTCTTATAGTACAGATAAAGGAAAAATTGCGAAAACCGTAAATTTTTAGTTACATCATTTAAAAAAATAATTTTTAATAATTATTACAATATACCTACAGATTTGTACGGAACTCTCGGTGCGCAAGTCCGACTCGCACTTGGCCAGTTTTACGATTTTCCCACATTAGATATCTTATGGTTTGTTGTTATTTACCCGAGCCTCTTACAAGGCGTGATCTTACAATATAAATTGTAATTCTGCAGTGAGTGTAGCGAAGCCCTTGCGCCGTAGGCAAGTGGAGAGTATCCAAATGAAAGTGAACGTTAAGATAGACGCAATAGAGATCCTTTTTGCGACCAACCGGCGGTCGTTGTCATGCGTCTAGCTGACACTGAGATATCTTAAAACGTGTTGTAATTTACCCTAGCCCCTTACAAAGCGTGATGTTACTATATTCATTCTATTTCTTCAGTGAGTGTAGCGAAGCCGTCGCGACGTCGGCAAGTGGAGAGTATCCAAATGAAAGTGAACGTTAAGATAGACGCAATAGAGATATTTTTCGCGACCGACCGGCGCCCGTTGTCGTGCGTTCAGCTTAGAGGCGCTACCACTGGGTTGGTTATGAAGAGTTCTTACATGCAAGTCGACTGCACTATTGGTTCCATCACCGTCGAGGATCTAAATCCTGTTACTATCCATAAAGAGGTAAATAAATATGTTTTTTTATTAATAATAATTAATAAACAATACCAATTTGAAATGTTTCTAAATCATGATTTGTTTACTAAGTATCAATCTCACAGAGTTTCGTAAATATTTCAAATAACTATTTGTTAACTATATCTTTTTTAAGCATTTAAGTGCTGGATTTATACATCTAAAGAAAATTTTACTTAAAAAAATATTTAGGTTGTTATTGTTATTTGTTAATTTGACTTCAGTATCTCGTTACCTTATGAGCATAATTAGGATATAGCAAATACGAATAGTCTTGTGAAGTGGCAGCCTAATATTTGTGCTAGCATTGTGAACACAATAATATCCTACCAATTTCTCTTATTTCGAATACACAATTTATTTGTAATCCAACAATAATTAATTTTACTTTCTCATTTTAACTCATTCAAAAGTAAATAAAACCTCATTCTTAGATACTGAAAGTGTTGGGCGGTGACATCATTAACGTGCAAGTGGTGATATACAACTTAGAGCATTACCCTTCAGAGAGTGACGTCAACATGTCCATCGATGCACAAATCAACTGTCTCCGGATCATATTCCTGAACTGGTTCGTCACTTCCATGCTGGTAGGTTTATTTTGTTTTTCTTTAATAGCAAGTAATAGCAATACTTTTCGGTGTGTGACTTCATGCCCATCGACCCACAATTCAACTGACTCTGAATTATTTTCCTTAACTGGTTCAACGCTTCCATGCTTGTAAGTCTATTATTGTGTGTTTCATTAGTAGCAAGTAATAGCATTACCCTTCAGAAAGTGACGTCAACATGACCATCGATGCACAAATCAACTGTCTCCGGATTGTATATCTCAATTAGTTTGTTACTTGGAATGCTGGCTTTCTTTAGGCTGCAGATAGACGACGCGAAAAAAATCTTGCGGCCGCCATGCTGTCGCCGTACTGTCACCGCGCGGCCGCCACGCTGTGACATTCTGTGTCATATAAACGTGCCCTTACTAGCGAGGAATCTAGCCGTAATTTTCTACCTTATGTTGCTTGTAATTAAACAGAAGTTGGGTATCTTCTGTTTTACTTATATATTTTAGTAACCAAAAAATCCTGTCATGTCCTTCCCAGAGATTCAAACTATATCAACCTCGATTTTCATCTAAATCGGTTCAGCGGTTTAAGCGTGAAGAAGTAACAGACAGACACACTTTTGCATTTATTTATATTATTATAGCCAAATATTCAGTTGAAAATTCTGTAAGTCATGCATGTTACCCACAATTATCAAATTTAACAAAATAATTTTAAGCTTTACATTGTTGCACATACAATTCACAATCTATTAAAAAAAATTACAATTTGTGGTTTTTTTATGTACATTTCGTTACCATGACGATGTATTTTCAGGAATTCCTCAATAATTTCCAAACTGCTCAACAAGCTATAATCGAAGCGTCATCGCAAGCAGCGGACGCTGCACGCGCCAACGTACAGAATGCTTACCAAAACTCGACCAAACTAGCGCTTAAGATTAGACTCGCCGCACCCTTAATCATTGTACCAGAAAACTCGACAAGTCGCAATGCTATGCTCCTGGATTTGGGTAGAATGACCCTGAACAACAAATTCATCGACATTCATACTGCAGTGAGTATTGTTTGTTGTTGCAAATTCATTTTATAGGGAATAAGAAAGAATCTTAACTATCAAACCTCCCAGTAGGGCTTATAGAGCTTCCCGTCATTAAATATTACTTGCCGCATTTTAAGATGATTAGCAGTTAAAGACACACTGGTGCATTGGCATTAACTTTATAAACTTTTAGGTGTTTAGTGTTGCAATTATTACGAATTGTTATTAATAAAGTCTACTCACATTTTTTTTTATAAAATATTTTTCAACAATTATTATTTTTACACAACACTCACCTCGTAATTAAAACACTGGGCTTATCATGATCAAGTTTTTAAATATGAGCGCTTTGTAAGCGGTTTAATTAATTAATATTAAGTTTGGTTTATGTATGATAGATAATTGATTAAATTGTCCGCCTTAATATTCGACAACAGGACGCCACTAACAAAGTGACTGTGGACGAACTTACTCTCGAATTAGAGGATATGAAGGTCTCGTGCGTACAATTAGGAGATGAGCAAACTAGCATCAGCCAGGAGAGGAAACTGCTCAGGCCGATCAGCTTCAATCTGTTGGTGAAACGCAGTTTGTCCACGTGGTATGAGAGTCTGCCCGACCTGGATGTTTCTGGAAGGATAAAGACTATAGCTGTGAGTAATGTAACCAGTTTAAGAAACTACGAAGAGCAAATCTAGCCGTGAAAACTAAGATAAATTTTAGGAATTGTCTGTCAAAGGAGCAACAAAAAGCAAATCCAGGAGGCTATATCGTCTGTTTTAGTTTGATTATTTCCGTGTTCGCCTTCGAAGCTAAAGCAAGTGTCTATGCGACATAAGATAAACTGCACCTTCTGATTTACAACAGAAATTGGTATATTAAATCCGAATACCATTTACAAAATCGAAGAGATGTAGAAATCGAATAGTTAAATGCTTAATAAATAATAAAAATTAAGTGATTTTTATTACCATTTCAGATTACTGTTGGACACAGTGATTACAAGAGCATAATGAAAATTCTCAATCAGAATTTACAAGAAGGTCAAAAAAAAGCTGAGGAGATCAAAGCCAAGGAAAACGTACCTAAAACGACCTCTAAATCTGCGGTCAAATTCCAATCTCAGAGCAGTAAAGTGACAACTAAGTCAACAGTGGCCGTTGTTAATACAAACGAAGCCAAAAAGCCGAGAACCACCATCAAGTTTTCGTTTACAATGGACAGTTTCGTTATCGATTTGTTGAACACCGTTACAAGCGTAAGTAACACACTAACAAATTAGCCGTATCTTGAAATTTTATGTTCATATGACATGGTCACACGGTTGCACTGTGACAAATACGATATATAGAAATATTAAACAGAGCTAGTGGTCGACTAATGGTCATAATATGATCTTTTTAGTTCTTTTGTCAAATATAATCAAAATCATTGTATCATGCTGGCACTTTACTTGGCTATTGGTTTTTTCCTATTTGTTTACTTCACAACAGTTTGTCCTTACCACGCTTTATAAGGAGTGAAAAGGACAACCTGATGTCAAGTTTATAAATAGCTTCGTGTGTATAAAGCGAGTCTCCTGCTTGTGTTTTTTCGAAACATTACACAAAAATATCAAAACAAGCGGGCATGGCTATACAGTAAGTGTGACGACGGGGTACAGTAAACGAAATTCTATTTAGTCCGTTAGTTAGATAATCCAAAAATAATGGACACGTATTGTTTCTTTGGGCAATCAACCAAAAAATGACAAAGTTATAGCGCGTCAAAGTTTGGGAGTAGGGGCTCGTGACGTCACTTTTGAGTGAAAATTGTACTTGTTTTGCGACTTTTCAAATCAATATATCTCTGCAATGTTTATATATGAAAAAAGAAAAAATACGTGTTCAATACTTTTGATAATCTACCTGATAAACGAAGAAAAAAAAATAGTCATCATCCCTATTACCTGAGCGTGGTAATACGCACAGGGGCCCAATTCTCGCGGCATAGATATTATATCGGCTTCGAGATAATATCGAAAGGAGGGATATCTATTGAAAATATCTACTGATGGTAAAAAATGCTATTCTCGTGGATTTTCGATATTCCAATGATATTATATCTATCGTAGATATTCTTTCTCTGACGAATGCGTTCCGTTTTTCTCGATTAAGTTAACATCATAGTCTATATAAAATAATAATAAATTAGAGCAGAATTTTACAAGCAACAAAATGATATTTTATGAATTCCATTCATATTAAATATGAGTATACATTTTTTAAGTATAAGAAATCTCAACTTTACCTAAATTGTATGAGTATATAATTTCAACGTTATGTATAATGAAACGTCAATATTATTTAAGATTCTCCCTTTTCAGGGAAGGCAAAGGGAACAATGCCCATAAAGCCTAGTCTTTAGTTATATTAATCTTCTTTTTTTTACATTCAAATGTCGGTGTGACGCATTCTAATGTTTCTTGGAGTGTTTGGCACGAAATTTATGGAGTTGGCTTTTTCTCTAAGCTTCTGTGAGGTAGTCAACACTACAATACAGTTCTCGCGTCCACTTGACCGAAATAGCGTATATTTTAAAGATTCCACTAATTCTTCAGTTGCGCAGACGGTTGTTACACCAAATCACACCAATTTCATTTCACAATATCCACTATGAACGAATTTTAGAATAATTAAAATAAGATGCCAACCGCACTCGCAGAAATCCCGCCAAAACTCCGTATTGTCAATAAGAAAATGGTGTCGATTCTGGCATGATTCTCTAAACCTAAACGTAAATTTGACAACAGTGTATCCTTGTCATTCTCCATACAGAATGAAAAGGAGAGACTGAAGTTAAATTTAGTTTTAAGTTTAGAGACTCGTGTCAGAATCGATACCAATGTCATTCATAACTTTAAAGATTTCTAACCAAATTTTTGTTTAAACGTAATTTTTTTATGAAGTCGGCGTCCCTCATTTCAAATGGGCCCTCTTGCTCTCACGACGGCGGCGCCTTAGCACAGCAGCAGCAATCACGTCATTTATTAAATCATTGACGAAAACATGAATCAACTGATCCATCGTTAATATAAACTGGTGTCGATTCTGGCACGATTCTCTAAATCTAAACTTAAACTTGACAACAGTGGTGCCGATTCTGGCACGATTCTCTAAACCTAAACTTAAATTTGACAACAGCGTATCCTTGTCATTCTCTATACGGAATGAAAAGGAGAGATTAATGTTAAATTTAGTTTTAAGTTTAGAGAATTACGCTAGAATCGACACCAGTGTTTCCTTGTCATTCTCTATACAGAATGAAAAAGAGAGACTGATGTTAAATTTAGTTTTAAGTTAAGAGAATCACGCCAGAATCGACACCATTGTTTACCTACTTCTTTATTTACTAATTATTTATGAAGGCAGTTAACAACATCTTGAGGTAACAATAATTGGCAAAGACACACGACAACACAAAAAATAATAGGTAAAAAAAGTGGAAATAACAAGATTGACACGCCAAGATCCATAGATATTTATATATCGAAGGCTCTTTACCAGTCGATGTATGTCTACTGATCATCCGTAGATAAATATCTATTGCGACATGGTGAGAATAGGGCAAAAAGGTTTTCCTTCGATAAAAGCCAGATCATTCGATATATATCGAAGGTGATATAATATCTATGCCGCGAGAATTGGGCCCCAGGAGCTCGCCTCAATATTTATCTTACAATATAAATGTCGTTGATCCTGCAGTCGGAAGACCTGATTTTCGTGAAAGACGTGGAGCTGGCTCGTTTCTGCCTGGCCTTGCTCTCGGTGAAGGGGCGAATGTTCTCAGACGGATCCATGCATACTTCTGTACTGTTAGTTGACTGCACTCTAGATGACACCAGGCCGGGAAGAGGCGCCAAGATCACCAGGTCAATTAAATTTAATATTCTATTCCAGCTGAATGTAGAAATAAAACGACGTTGGTAACAGTTTCCCCTACCACTAGTTAAGGTCTTCTTTTAGTTGTCGAGAAGAACTGGCGCAAGAAACTCCACAACATTGATGAAAAAGTAATTCAATGGCTTCTTTTAGCTGTCGCGAAGAGCTGGCGAAAGCAACTCCAAAATGTTAATTAAATAGTGATTCAATATGTAAATTAAGTAGCACTGAGTAGATTCATCCCCTCTGGTTGCACCCGTTCACAAGCATGACGGGTGATATTGATAATAATAAGATATTTTATCGTTCATTATTATTTTACTACAAACACTAATGAGCATAATGATGCTTGCCGATGATTGCCGATGTGAAGCATAATGATGCTTCACATCGGGGCAAGCTCGGGAGCCATCACGACTCGTAAAGGGTAGCCAGCCGTTGATATGTGTGCTTTGACTATTATTCACATATTTATTAAATTATAGCTGATTTTTTTTCTAAGCTAAATATAACTTAAAATGTGAGTTAAACGTGGTCGAAATTGAAGACATTTTAACCAATCTATATTTATTCATTAGGAACCATTTGGTAACAAAACAACACCACCTTATTTAGAAGTGTAAATGATATAGTGCTATATTATTAAAGTTTCGATTAATCTCAGGTACCTCGAGCGGCGTCATAAAAGGGCCGCATCAATCACTACACCGACTGCTGACGAATCTACAGACGTCATAATGGAAGCCCAAGATAAAATCCGCAGTATGATCGACATAACATACACTCTAAAAAATTCGGATACTTTCAGTAAGTAAACGAGAAGCTATCTATTTGGAAGTATAGTTTTACTTAAGGCCGATTTTTCAAAACTCGGATAAGACTTAATTGTTCAATATCAAATAGAGAAAGATATCATGCGTCACATTATACCAATTAATACAAGTCGACTCTTTATTTAGTCCGTATAATACGATATCAGACAGGTAAATTTAATCCAGTGTTCGAGAAATCAGCTCTAAGTCTATTGCAAAAAGCACGAGTAATCGTGCTGATGACGTAAGGATTCTAATGCAATCATATATAATATAACCAAATCAGTCTGCCGCGCGACAACGTGTGTACATTCTAACGCGCGTAAAGTCTCTAAACTAAATTATGACATAGGACTGTTCAGATGATCGCGCTGCTCCGTCGCAGGTATTTTGATACTCGAGTAAACGCGCGCTTATGTGCGTATTGAGTTCCTATAATCAAGTATCGACCTGTTCAGATGATCCGCACGTCTTGTTGCGTGCAAACGTATGGGGCAGCGAAGAATGGAACAGTAGTAATACAATATATTTCCTAATTTATTTTTGATTATGTTAGTCTTCTAAAGGTATTTAATGATAGTATAGCCAATATTCATCAAGAAATAATCATTTTTTTTGTTATGAAAATTGGAATTTTAAAATTTAGTCTTTGCTTGATGCGTTCTTAATTATATGACCACCACTGTATATGAACTGTGAAAACAGCACTTTTTGACAGTTAGGTAAAAATATTATTATCCATACATATTTTATGAGACTATACCTCTTTCGTGCTTGATAATGTTTTTAATTGTTCAACTTGCAGTCGACATGAGGATTTTTAGTTTTAACCTGATATTGGCTATGGATTTCCTGAATAAGATAGCAGAGTTCATGACAACTGGGATGGCCGAAGACGCGCCAGCTATCAAGTCTGGTAAAGAGGAAGTGAAAGTAGTCAGATCTGAAAAATCGGCCGAAAGTATGGTAAGCCGTGGACTTAGATGATTTAAATATAATTTTGTGACTAATCAGTCAAGATAAATAAAGTATTTAGTGGAATAAAGATTTTTTTCATACACTTTCTATGTTATTATAGCAGAAGAAAAAGACTTCAGTGGCTTCGGGGCCTTCTGTGAGTGAGCAACCGCAGAAAGTCTCAATGATGACAGTCAACGTAAAAATCGAGCAGCCTGATATACTACTAGTCGAATCATTGGAGTCTAAGAAATGTGACGCGCTCGTGTTGAACGTAAGTGTAGAAATTATCTTTAAGTTTTCTTTGTTGAGATTAACTTAACAATTCTTCATCTTATTTTTATTGACGATAAGTCATTTCCGAAGATTATGAAAATACGTTCAAAGCAGCTAAGCAGTAATAACTCCTAAATGCAAAATTTAATGATTATTGGTATGCTGGCTGATGTCGCGGTGCAGCTGGCTAATGCTTTTTCATTAAAAGACACACAAAAAAGCATTATTTTTTGTTTGTAAGTTTATAAGTTGGACAAATACGCCTTTTTTCTCATTGTTTTTGATAATACTATGGTATGCGGTGACTGCTTACAGGTGGGCCATATGTTTTTCTGCCATCAAAGTAGTAAAAAGATAATATTACGATAACTAGTCTTTTCAATCATTCATACATTTCCTCGTAGATGGAAGCCCGTTTCAAACTGCGCAAGACCGAAGAGCGCATGGTCGCCGACGGCGGAATATCGAGCCTGCAGATGGTGATCAGAACGTTGGGCGAGGCGGAAACCACGCCGCGGTACTTACTGGCGCCTGCGCATCTCTCCCTCGCGCTGTCGCAGCCGCCTGACAGCGGCATGCACGTGGACATCTCCGTGTCCGCCATCAAGCTGACCGTGTCGCCCGGTGAGTGACGTCACCGCCTGCACTCGCCCCTCGCTGGCTACCCCCCGCACTCCTTACCTCTTCCCTAAGCTGCCGCAGCTGCCCGCCAGCGGCATGCACGTGGACATCTCCGTATCCGCCATCAAGCTGACCGTGTCGCCCGATGAGTGACGTCACCGCCTGCACTCGGCTTTCACTGGCCACCCCCCCACACTCCTTACCTCTTCCCTAAGCTGTGGCAGCTGCCCGCCAGCGGCATGCACGTGGACATCCCGTATCCGCCATCAAGCTGACCGTGTCGCCCGGTGAGTGACGTCACCGCCTGCACTCGGCCTTCTCTGGACACCCCCCGCACTCCTTACCTCTCTTCCAAGCTGTCGCAGCCGCCCACTAGCGGCATGCACGTGGACATCTCCGTATCCGCCATCAAGCTGACCGTGTCGCCCGATGAGTGACGTCACCGCCTGCACTCGGCTTTCACTGGCCACCCCCCCCACACTCCTTACTTCTTCCCTAAGCTGTGGCAGCTGCCCGCCAGCGGCATGCACGTGGACATCCCGTATCCGCCATCAAGCTGACCGTGTCGCCCGGTGAGTGACGTCACCGCCTGCACTCTGCCTTCTCTGGACACCCCCCGCACTCCTTACCTCTCTTCCAAGCTGTCGCAGCTGCCCACTAGCGGCATGCACGTGGACATCTCCGTATCCGCCATCAAGCTGACCGTGTCGCCCGGTGAGTGACGTCACCGCCTGCACTCGGCCTTCTCTGGCCACCCCCCGCACTCCTTACCTCTCTTCCAAGCTGTCGCAGCCGCCCGCTAGCGGCATGCACGTGGACATCTCCGTATCTGGCGCCATTAAGCAGACCGTGTCGCCCGATGAGTGACGTCACCGCCTGCACTCGGCCTTCTCTGGCCCCACCCCACGCACTCCTTACCTTTCTTACAAGCTGTCGCAGCCGCCCGCTAGCGGCATGCACGTGGACATCTCCGTCTCCGCCGCCATCAAGCTGACCGTGTCGCCTTGGGAGTGACGTCACCGTCTGTACTAGCTCCAGCGAATTAAATATAATATGGAATACGAACTGCGTTAAAAAGTGGCTCCACGTTACGCTACTGCTACTGTCATCAACATGTCGATCATGGGATTAGTTGGGATTTCCGTTTAACATTATCTTACGCAATGAATGGATAGCCGAATTCATTTGCAGATATTTGATTTGTCAAAGTACTTTGTTTTGTGTGTGTGCGAGTCGCGTTAGTATTGAAGTTTAGTTGTATGAGTTTTAAACTTTAATGCTTCCATATCATTTCTAATTCGATGACTCACTGGCCACTCGCGTTGTCACAGCCGTCCGCCAGTGGCATGGCTGCGTTTCCACCTCCACCAGAGATGTTAGAGGATACGTAGCGAGGGATGCATTTGTAGAAAATCGATAGAATCGCTTCATTTGCCACGCCTCGGTGAGCACACCTCTGGTGGAAACGACTACTTAGCGGAGCGAGGTTTATGTACAAGTAACTCGTGTCATTACAGTAAGGAATTGAAAATGCCAACGCAAGTGCTTTAAGTCTCTCGCTCGCACTTAGGATAGCATGTGCGAGAGGGACAGAATGTCTTAAGTCGTTATTTGCGATTCCTTTCTTAAATGGAATGAGTTTTACAAAATAAGTGAGAGCTGTGTGCAAGGGATGTGAACTAGAATTGTATGTGAGAGATATTTGCTATGAATGGAAAAGAGTATGCTTCCTATACATATTCGCTTCGCTGTTCTTTCTAGCGCATGTCAGGTTGTAACGCAGCATAAGAGTTCATAATATGGCCTCAGTACTCGCCCCTCACTAGGCGTAACCTTTGCTATAAGCATTTATATCGTGAAACTGTCAAAATTATTTAGTATTTGGACACAATATTAGGATTATTTGACTGCTATCTTATTGATCAAGCGGGAAGAATCATTGTCCATCAGATGGGCAATCAATTTCTTTCCAACTAGTGCAAAAGCTTCAAAGCAAAGGTACTTTAGATTTGTTGGTGAATTTTGCATTAAATAATTACAAAATAGTTTAGTCCTGCTAAATATCTGTAAATTTACCACACCACAGATATTATAGCGTTACTGAATCGCGTGATGGCTACAATCACAAGCACTGAGGAAGATACTACACAACAAGAAAACAAAGCTATATTCTACAAGGATCTGTGGACCATGCAGCCTTTCAAACCCAATTCTTACTGGTTCCTCAAAACAGGTAAGTTAGTTACAAATTATGTATCCAATCATAAAAATGTATCTATTTGCAGATATAGTTGTGGTGGCCTGCTCTGCCATTTTTAGTCTGTAATCGCTTGGTCTCGATGACTCCCAACAATTAAAATTCTAATAAAATGTTAGCCTTCATTTCTTTGAGATATTGAAATATTTATGTTGAGGATTTCCTGCAACGTTATGGTTATAGCAATTCATGCTTGTTTCTATATACAACCCTAGTCTGTCGAAATGCCAAAATCAGATTGTTTTCGCGCGAGTTTTGAATTCACTTAGTTTGGATTAAAAGCGTTTTTGTCACACTACTCTTATTTCGATGATATTCTCTGTATAACAAATATGCAATATAAAACTTCACCGTAAGAATGCACAATACTTTTTGTCTTAATTCAGAAGAGGCAGAAGAAGCGTTGAACGTAGAAGAACTATCGGAGGTGCGCGAAACTCCGCCTCCTTCAGGCGAGATCTGCTTGTTGTCCAGTCCTTCTATAGTGGTTTCACTGGAAATGGACATCGGTAACGAGACTATACCGGTTTTGGTAATGCAGGCATCCCTCACTGGACAGCTGAAGGACTGGAGCTCAGATGTAAGTAAAAAAAAATATATGTATTCTAATAAATACGTTCAAAATTAGGAAGATCTCCTTGCTATATAGTCCTTCAATAGTGGTCTCTGAAAATGGACATTGACAACGAGACCATACCGGTTTTGGTGATGCAGGCAATGTCAATATAACATAGTATTGAGATAATGTTGAAATTTATACATTATGTACTCGTATTGGGGTTGACTCGCTTCTCCCAAACAATAGATTACATATTGAGAATAATTAATTTAAAAAGAAAAGCAAATAATATTAAAAGGTTAAATAACGAAGTGTGTGTCTCTATTACATTGAAATCCTCAATAAGTGGACGTATTTAAAGACTTTAAAATATTATGATCACACACAGTTCTATATGGAGTCGACATGGGCCATGCAGGTGTCTTATTATAACATCGGACGCGCAGTTTGGGAGCCACTGATAGAGCCAGTGGAAGTTCTTAAAGACTATCAGTACAAACATGTGCCATGGGAATTGAAGATGGAGGTATTTTTTATTTACTACAAACACCCATATTCATTGCAACATAAGACTTACTTTATTTTAAGATTTATTCAATAAGAGAACTTTACTAAAACAGACTAGAATTTATATAGTTGTGTGTATAAACCGTGTGCTTCCACTTTTATATGCAAATAAGTATACGTATAAGTGAATGCAAAAATACATTTTGATGTTTTTTTTTAATTGTTCTCTGTTGAAGGGCTTTTGACCTAGCAAAAACTGATATTTTGACAACTTTTATTATCCAGGAATGAGACCTATATTTTTATTAGTGCATGCATTCACGTTACATCCGCTACGAGTATATGTCTTGATTGTAAAAGCATGCGGGATACTTTACTACAGAACATGTGAATTGTCCAAAAGAGAATCTTTCAAACTTCTTCCTAGTAGTTACAAACCCAAAACAAACAACCAAGTATAAGAGGCGTTATGAAATGATATTCCGACATAAATGTTGCAATAGTTTAATATTTATTTGTAAAGATCAAACGCAGTTTGCATCGAAAGCGACACGAAATCAAGTTCATTTCGTATTATTTCATACTTCAGATCTCATCTTTAGCTTCGCTTACTCTAATAATTATCGGAAGCTAGCCATCACAAAACTGAGCGATATGCGGGAAGTTAAAATTTTATAGAGTTTTATTTCTGACCCAATGTGGCCTACGCTTGATACTTGGTACCAGTTGTATCAATTTACCCGAATAAACACATGAACATCAATATTTTATTTATTGCCTGATTTGTTTAATGCTAGCACTCCACATGGAATAACCATGTATTTGTTTTTTGTACATTTGATAGCAGTGTATCCTTATCATGCTTTATAAAGAATGAAAAGGAGATTACTGCCAAATTCACAAATAGCAAATACGAATGGCTTAAAATAACGAGCTATATGCTTTTATATCAAACTTTTTTACTAACATTTTCTACATATTTAGGTAGTAATGCATGCCCAAGAGAGTCAAGCGTCGATCGACACTACGGACGAGGCGGCTAACATGCAAGCTGTGGCCCAACGCCAGGCTAACAAGACCATCACTATATCCAGTAGCGAGCCACTGGAGATCACCATTACTAGGAGTGGAATGGAGGTATTATAGATGTCTTTTACAAACGATTTGATTACATATTAAGGTAGTTTTGCTTGCCCAAAATAGTCAAGCGTCCATCGACACTACGGACGAGGCGGCCAACATGCAAGCCGTGGCTCAACATCAGGCCAACAAAACCATCACTGTTCATGCCTTCTTAGCGTGATGGAATTAACTTTTCTAAATAAACTCTCACTGAATTTTGATGTTGTCACAAGCAACGTAAAAGATGTAATAAATGATCAGTAAAAATATCAAGCAAAATTTATGAGCACGGCAACATTGCTGCTGCGAGTTTGGTAGGCGTTACCAATCACTATATCCAGGAGCGAGCCACTCGAGATTACCATTACTAGGAGCGAGATGGAGGTCTTTCTTATGAGCATTTTAGACAACACAGCCATTTTACGATAGTACATAAGGATGTTTATTGCACGCTGGGGCACCAACGATTTGACAATATATATACACCGATATTAAAAACCGATATTATACAACCGATATATAAGATACACCACGTGCACCCAAAATGTGTCTCCATCAAAAAGTGCTTGAATACCACTCAAGCACTTCTTGTTTCTTAGTCACGCGCAGACCGTTGATAAGTAAAGTTGCCGCAGAGCTACGTGAAAAAATGCGAAATAGATACTTGTAGTACGCAGACGTTTTTTCGACAGGTATCTAAACAATGTTTGTTAATTTAACGCATTTGAAGCAAATTTTGTTTTAATTCTTACTATAAACGAATTTAATAGAAAATATTTGTGATATTCAAATGCATGGTCGGTTAAATCCGCCGTGTCTCTTCCTCGCGCTCCATACCGGCTATATTGATAAAGGCGCATTCAGAATTACGCGTAGAGTCAAAAGAAATAAAGTCTATATTCTTCTGTCTATAGCAACATGTCGTGAAATTTATGAGCTTGCATTTCGAACTTATAACTCTTGGCGTATGCTTTTAAATTAGGACCTCGTATTATATGCATTACAGGTGTCTTTGAATGTTTAAATAATGCTTTTAATTGCTTTTGGCTACGCTATCACCTTATGGAGCTACGTGGATCGTCCCATGTACCTTTCGGACAGCATTCGGCCACGATTTTGTTCGTGTTCTTGTATCTAGGGTATTAAATATTAATGTATGTATAACATACACTCAGCGGCACGGAATCTTGGCCAAACACTTCTTAAGCTATAGCATAAGTTTCAAGTGTTTACAACAAGTGTTTTTAATGAAGGTGGGTCATAAAAATGCTAAGCTTTGTTTTAAAAGGGTAATTCAATATGTTTGAGCGTTTCATGGTGTGAATTGTGAGATTTAATCACATCGCGTATTTTAAGCAATATAATTGGAGTTTTGAATGTTGTTATGTGTGTAGTTTACTGTGCCGTTTTTTAATTTTTGTGTTGTTTTGGATTTTATAAAGTGTAAACGTACTTACTAACGTACTTAAAAAGCAAAAAAAATCCCTTTAACGCCAGCACAAGTTGCACAATCGGTATCCCTAATTGACCAAGGGCTCACCCAACGTGTGGTGGCTATTGTACTCAATGTGCCGCGTTCATCAATGCAGTACGCCTTAAAACGATGCCGTGAGACAGGTACCTATCGTCGTAGACCAGGCAGTGGAGGTGTAAGATGCACATCGGCTCGGGACGACCGTTTTATCGTTTTGGAAATTTTGAGAAACCGCTACCTCACTGCGGTTGAGATACGATAGCGACTCCAAATTGCAAGAGGTGTGAATGTAAGTGAGCGTACGATAAGAAGACGAATGGAGGAGGTGAATTTAAAAGCGCGAAGACCAGCCCGAGGTCCAGAACTCCTCAGACAGCACCGAGTAGCTCGGCCTCGTTTCGCCCGAGAACACGCCAACTGGACACACGATCAATGGGCTAATGTTTGTTCACGGATGAGTGCAGAATCGCGTTACGTGCACCAGACGGTCGATTACGAGTGTGGAGAAGAAGAAGAGAGAGGTCTCTTCCTATTACTACTACTGAAACTGTTAGTTTTCATGGAGGCTCCATAATGGTATGGGGAGGAATAAGTTCCGACGCTCGTACGGAGTTGGTTATCATTGACAATCGGTTAACTGCAACTCGATACATTGAGGAGATCCTACAGGATCATGTTGTACCCTATATGGGGCTTATTGGATACGACCAGTTCCAGTTAATGCACGATAATGCACGCCCACACGTTGCACGATGCGTTGAGTACTACCTGCAAGATCTTGGTATTCAAAAATTACAGTGGCCTGCGTGAAGCCCGGACTTAAACCCCATAGAACACATCTGGGATATACTCAAAAGAAAAATTTAATCCTCTTCTAACCCGCCGCAAACGCTAGGCGAGCTTCGAAATGCAGTATTGACCGCATGGGAAACCTTATCGCAAGGTGATGTTAGAAACATTATCCAAAGCATGACAGATCAGATGTAGGCAGTCATCAGGACATGGGGTGGAAACAACCGATACTGACGTGTGCAAAAAAACAAAAAACAACGTTGACTTTTCAGTGTGCACTGTTTGAAAATTAAGTAAAAGTTTCTGTGAAAGTGACACTTTTCATATAAATTTTCTTTTTGATGCAATAATTTCTTGAACACTTAAACAATTGTTAAAAACCATTATAAAAATGAACATAAGTTAGTTCTAAATTAAATTTAATGCAAAAAAACATATTGTATTCAAATCAAAGCAAAAATAACGGGTGGCCAAGTTTCCGTGCCGGTGAGTGTATTAAATATTCATCTGTATAAATGTATTTTACATAAAAATCAGTGTAATGTAGTGTAACAATACATCTTATGTATTGTTACGCTACATTTTTGGTATAGGACTGAGCTAATTTATAATAGAAGATTACTAATTTCTATTGGAATCTCTTATATGTACATGTACTCATAGGGCTTTCATGTGGATTTACCAATCTGTTTATGACATTAACTACTTACTGTAACTTACTTAAACTCCCTTATTAAAAAACAAGGTATACGCTTAGACTAGTTACGCCGTGTTTTGTTCGTATCACTCAAGTGCCATATTTGTAATTTAATGGACAGAGACAAGACATAGAGTAACTAATCCAGGCCAATCCAAAATTGTAATTGGGATTGACAATAACCGGATAATATAATGCCGGCCCAGTGCGGTCAGTGGTTTAACGTGTCTTTTCAAGAAACAAAGTTGTCACACAGTTGGGTAATGTCGACAATTTCAGTTTTTGTATTTTGCATGGTATATATTATATGTACGGGACGCCGGGCTGTCGCAGTAGCGGACAGTTACCGACTCGTACTGAGGGGGTGGAGGAAGTTACACGCAGGAGTCTTGACTGTAGTGGACTGTAGTTTCGGCGAATAAAACCCCTGGTGTTCGGTATTGAAGAAATCGGTGGGCGCTGATAATGGATGGCCGCTGAGAGGAGCTGATGTTGTCCAGAGTGAACCGCTTGGTTGTTTCTTCCTGTTCCTTAGGGTAGGAGCGCCTGTCGCTGAATGCATGTCGGGGCATGTTCCGACTCGAATTTTATATGCTAGGACTGAGCTGGCCAGCGATCCACTACCTCACCCACGCTATACTTTATTTTTCATTTTCTTCAAAATTACAATAGTGCGAGCTTAAAACTAATTGTACATACATCGGGCATACATTTAGGCATATTTTTAACACAGTTATGTGTCCGTAAACACGATATTTTAGGTGTGGCGCGCAAAAAATAGGTCTCCGCAATATTTATACTTTCCCCCTCCATAGGGCTTCGCCCTGCCACGGGGCTTCGCTGCCCCACCCGCGCGCTCCGGGCGCGCCGGGTGGGGAGCGCAACATGTCTCAGAAAACGGTTCTATACAAACATGTTTTGTCTCCTACACGGTACATTTTACACTTATTGATGCGATACCTATTTGTTTACGTAGCCCTACGTGTTACCTATCTAATACAACAAGTCTCTTACAAGAATATCAATAAACAACAGCTGTACGGCCCTATAAAGTTTACAAATTAAAAAGTCTCAAAAAACCTACTTATATTCACTTAATGTCTAACTATCATACACCATTTTAAAGAAGAAGTAAAAACACACAAAATAACATCATTATTATAACAATTATACCTATATCCTATTGACTATTCATAAAAAATTATTCCCAATATTTTCCTTAATTACGCTTAAACTACTAACACGATTCATACAAAACTTCGATATATTATTCCTATAACTACCTACTATCTAATAAGATATAAAATAAATCAATCAAAACATAAAACATACTATTATCGAAAATTGTCAACTCAGGCAAAATCCTATAAGACGTGAGACAAGGACAACCTATTGTCTCCGTCCCTCCTATAGGTCGGAACTATCAGTATTCTGACTAGTTTCCCCGCGCCACCGCTTGGCGTCGTGGCGATCGTTTAGATAAAGTCTTATAAGATTATTGGAGAGAACGGGGCGGAATATCGCTCTGAACTATCAATTTTACAATGGTTTACTATGGGCAGAGCTATCTATTATTGCGATATCCGACTCATTCTAATAAGACAACAAGGGAATGATATTTTTAATGCGTATACAACCGATTCATGTGAAATTATAGATACATTTTTATACATTGCTCTCGTATTGTCGTTAGTTCATTTTCTCTCGCTTCGGTCGTAAGGCGGTCGTCTCGTACATACTCCCGCCGTGCAGCGTCGGTTGACTCGTCGCTGCATCCAATCACCGTGGGAGAGGCGACCGATGATGTTGTATGCACCACCAGCCGCTCCGAAGGTCGATGTAGTGCTCCTCCAATTTTGATAAGGTTGATGACTCGTGTAGTCGCGTTTCGCCCGAATTGGTTGGCGATAACGATTCGGTGTTTCTTGTCTATACGGCGATCTCCGGCGATTTTCTCTGTTGCGATCGATGCGATGCCACCTCGGGGCTCCCGCCGGTGGCGCGGGCGGCCGAGGTCGATGAACTCGCGGCTCGCCGCTGTAGGTATAGCGA